CCTCCTCTCCTCTCTCTCTCTCTCTCTCTCTCTCTCTCTCTCTCTCTCTCTCTCTCTCTCTCTCTCTCTCTCTCTCTCTCTCTCTCTCTCTCTCTCTCTCTCTCTCTCTCTCTCTCTCTCTCTCTCTCTCTCTCTTTCTCTCTCTCTCTCTCTCCTCTCCTCTCCTCTCCTTCGTTGCTTCTCGCTCAAGTTTTCCATCAGCTCGACTCCGACCTCATGCAGCTCAACTTTGACGTAACCCTTTCCTCCCCTTCCTCTGCGCCAGCCGCACTGCCCGACACAGGAGCTGCCTCCCCAGCAGGTTTGTACCTGAGACTCTCCCCACCACCTCTCCGTCCTCCTTTCGCATCCTCCCAGCTCCTGTGCGCGACTGACTTTCTTTTTCCAGCCTCACCCTCCGATGTTTCCGGTCTCGCTGCTGCTCGATCAAAGGTTGTCTTTCCTTCTTCATCTCTTTGTGACCCCAACCCCCATTCCCCTCCTTCTCCTTCTCTCCTTCTCCTTCTCTCTCCCCCCTCCTTCCTCCCTCCTCAAGCTCTACTGCAGGCGATGTCAGCGCTTAGCATGTCAGCTAAGACAGTTTTATCATCTGCATCTAAGGTGAGGATGGGAGGGGAAGGGACCATAGACGACGAGGAGGTGGAGCAAGAAGAGCAAGAGGAGGTGGAGGAAAGCTGGGGGGGGCGGGGAGGGAAACATTGTAGTGATCATGCGGTAGGTGGGAGCTGCCTCACGAAGTGCTGCGGTACGAGGAGGAACCGAAGCCAAGACCAAGGTCAGGGAGGGAGCGAACAAAGAGGGGGGAGCGAAGAGGGAGGGTTAGGCGAAGGGTGGGGGGCTGGGGGGTGGGCAAGAAGAGGACGAGGTATGGGGGAGGAGGGAGAGTTTACTTAGCGGAGAGCAGGCAACGGATGCGTTTGCAGATCTTTTATCGGGTTTCAAGCTGAAGAAGGGGCCATGAGAGGAGGACGATGAATAAGAATGATTGAATAAAGCCACACGTGAAATCATTTGCCTTCCCTCTCCATCACCAGCCTCCCTTCCTCCTCCTCCTCCTCCTCCTCCTCCTCCTCAAACCTCTGCAGATCCTCCTGAAGCTTCTGCCGCTGCGCATGCAGTGCATCAAACTCGAGCTTGACGCTGCCGAGCTTGCTCCTGAGATTGTCTAGCTCTTCATCCATCTCCGCGTTCAACGAGGACAGCTCTGCTAGGGGGTCGCTGACGGCCGCCTGTGCCATGGCTCCTGGAGGAAGCATGCTGAAGAGGAGCTGCTCCTGCATGTCCTCCAGCTCGCTCAGCTGGTCCATCCTCCAGCTCTCGTCCTGGCACCCTCGCAGCTCCCTCCTGAGATCTTTGATCATGGTCTCCAGCTTCGACTCGTCTCCCGCCAGCATGTTCTCGTGCTCCTCCAGGAGCAACTCCTGCTCTGCGAGCTCCCTGCGCAGTTCCGCAATGGCGTTATCCTCGTCTTCATGCAGCTTTGAGATCCTCAAGGCCTCCTGGACATGGTCATTCTGATCGTCGGAAGACATGCGGCAATGAAGGTGTGAGGGAGGAAGAAAAGAAAAAGGTCAAAGAAGAATGAGCGAGGGAGGGGGTGAGGACAGAAAATGAAAGTAGGAGAAATGAGAGGAGAGATGACAAAGGTGAGATGAGCGGATTGGAGAGGGGTGTATGTAGAAGGAGAGGAGAGGAGAGGAGAGGAGAGGAGAGGAGAGGAGAGGAGACGAGACGAGACCAGAGGAGAGGAGAGGAGAGGAGAGGAGAGGAGAGGAGAGGAGAGGAGAGGAGAGGAGAGGAGAGGAGAGGAGAGGAGACGAGACGAGACGAGAGGAGAGGAGAGGAGAGGAGAGGAGGACGGAGGTTCTGCAGCAAGGCCTGATAAGCGCAGTGATGAGCGCGGGACAACAGGGGACAAGAACTGGGACCAGAACTGGGACAACAAGGAGCTAGTAAGAGCGGGGACGAGGGACAACCGGACTCTAGTGAACTTCGGAACTCGGGGAGAGGCTCGTGACGGGCCCCGGTACCGTACTACGTGACGAACTTCCGGCGGAACTTCGGAAGCCTGGCACTACGAAAGCTGCGACCACACTGACTCTGAGCTGATGCGTACTGAGAGGCTGCGGTCGGACTGGTCATCAGGAGCCCCTCGTCCGGCATCGACCGTGGGATGAGTCATGTGTAGGAGGTCTGAGGGACAGTTCGCTTGAGCGATTTCACTGAACAATTTCTATGTCGCTTCACCGCTCGACCCGTTTCCTTCCTCTCTCCCCACCTCGTCCTCTGCTCCCCTGCTTCCCAACGAGAGGTTCTCAAAGACTGCCTCGAGTCCGCTCTTGCACATCCTGTCTGAGGGCAGTCCAACGCATAGCATGCCGCCTGCTTCCTCCTCCTCGCTCTCCCCCGGCATCTCGATCACGACACACTCCCCCGAGATCCCGCTGTTCTTCAGGATCTCGTCAAGCCCCCAGTGCACCACCTCTTCCCAATGTTCCTCAGCTAGCAAGTGGTTCGAGCTCAAGTCAACTGAAGATCCTCTCGCCACCTCCTCCATCTCCTTGTTTGCTTGCACGTAGTTGTGCTCGCATCGCCCACTCGACTGGTTGTCCATCATCACAGGAACCGCACTCTCCCGGCTGCCCCCCAGCACAATGTTGCCGACGAGGCTTCCCCTGTTCACCTCCTGCAGTTGGATCGCAGGCCCCCCATTGTCGTAGATCACATTCCAGCAGAGGACAGGCCCCTGCGACTGCTCGAGCATGACGCCTGGAGGGGAGATGTTAGCGACAAGGCAACGAGCAAGCGGCAGGGGACTCACCCCCGCTTTCGTTCTGGCTGATCCTGTTGGCGCAAAGGTTGGCAGATGAGTTGCCAGTGCAGTGGATCCCCGTCCCTCCGTTGCCAATGACGAGGTTGTAGGCGAGCTTCACCGAGCAAGAGTCCATCGCCAGCATACCGACGCCATGGGAGTCCATCAGAGAGTTTCTCACCGCCAGCACTCGAGCTCCGTCAAGCGCCACCACGTTGGAAACCTTCCCGTCTCGGATCACGTTGCCGAAGAGCTTCACGTCGGAGTTGCCCTGGAGCACGAGGCCTGCTCCCTCCGACTCAGCGATCGTGTTCCTCTCCAGCGTCCCCCTGGTCTTGTCCCTCATCACCACATTCCCTCCATGATGCCCGAAGAGATGGGAGTTGAAGAGCTGCATGCTCGCTGAGTCATGCAGCAGAAAACCTGTCCTCTGCTCATTCCCGCACCTGACACATTAGCTACGTCAGCAAGCTCGTTAGTCAAGGGCTCCAGTCACCCGATTGTACAGCTGTCGACTGTGACGCTTGTCGTCCCCGTCCCGCACACGCCGCTCTTCTTGTTCCCCTCGATCACGCAATTCTGCAGCGTCGCCAAGCAGCTTCCTTGCATGAGCACGCCATACCCATGATTGTCCCGTATGATCGTCCCGTCGAAGAGCGGTTGAGCACTCTCCTTCAGCCCGACTCCTGCGAATGAATTCCCAGAGATCGTGTTGCCCACAAAGACAGCACGTGCCGACCCAGCCATCACGACTCCTCCCGACTTGTTGGAGAGCACCGTGTTGTCCACGAGCAGCGGACAAGCGTTGTCCATCACCCCGAGCCCGGCTTGAAAGTTGTTTGACAGGAGGTTGCGCCGATAAGTCCCTTTCGCAGAGTCGTGCACGATTATCCCGCCGCCCCTGCCATCGAAGATCTTGTTGTCCGACACGTCCGGCTCACTCATGTTGCTCACTTGCAGCGCTGTCTTCAGGTTGTTGTAGACGCGATTCCTACGGATTGTACACGTTGACCTGTCTTGGCTCCAGAAGCCTCCCTGTGCTCCATCCGCCACCGTATTGCTCTCGAACACAGCAGAAGACTGTCCCGAGCAGACGACGCCACACTTGCCATTCTCGTGGATGCTGTTCTCAGAGAAAGTGCCGGCGGCGTCATCGAGCGTGACGATGCCGAAGCCAGTGTTCTGACTGACTACATTCTTGCTGAACTCGACGTGTGAGCTGCCTCCGCAGATCAAGGCGCCATGGAACGAAAGTCGCAGAGTGCAAGTTCGAGCAGACAGCTTCGCGTCGTTGAGCACGATCAGCGCGTATCCCAGCTCACTGGTGCAGGAGCAATCCTTGATCTCTGTGCTGCCAAACTCAACTCGAACGCACGACGACTCATCAAGCCGTTTCGACATGGAAGATTGTTGGCTGTCATCAACCGTGTGAGAAACAGACACAACTCCACGCCTCCTCCTTCCCCACCTGTCCTCCTTCAGTTGCACGATTTCCAAGCCTTGAAGGAGAATGCCGCTGCAAACCCTGTCAGTCCAACTGTATCCCGAGGGAGACACAAGACAAAAGTCACCTGCCACGGCAAACGATGGAGGCTCGAGCTTGAGACCCGAAGGAGATCTTCACCACCTGTCCATCTTTCGGGATTTCTGACGCGACGAGTTTCACATGGTCTTTGTCCAATACTGCTTCTAGTTACCAGCAGTGCGCAACAGAGCAACATGTCACCTAGACATGAAGTTTCGGTATAGCTTCCGGGCCTGATAGTGATACAAGTTCCATTCTTAGCACAGCGAACAGCTTCCGAGATGCTCGAAAACAATCTGGCGTGATTTCAGTCACATTCCTCAAACCTTGATGAACACTTCGCCTACCTTCTGCGAGCGCAGGTAGAGTTCTCTTCATTAACTTCAGTGTCGGCGTGTTTGAATTCTAAAGGATCCCATCACATCACCATATCATCCCAAAGCACAGCAACCTGAGCACACTTCGAAGGTGTTCTCTTCAGAAAACTCATCTTCATCCTTCACAGCGGAAACATTTTCCGCCATTGAACAAGTTTTACTGTTTCCCTCCCCAATCAATCAAAACGAGTTCGACATCCTGGCAAGCAAGCAATGTCTTGTTGATCTCTTTCAGCTTTCCTGCATGACCTGCCTCACAGGACAACTCCTGCTGTCATATCCCCCACAGTCAACCTAGTCATGAATACGGCAAGCGCCGCTTCCTCTAAACCATCTGCAGATGAAGTGAGGAACATTATGACACAGGAAATTACAGCAGAGAGCTGTTGGTCAAGAATGTGAACACTTGCGGTACAGAGCTTCAGTCTCTCACATCGGGGAACCTCCTCTATTTCCTTGTCCTCCTGCCCTCCACGCTGCCGACCTCTTGGCCATTGCCTCGGTCAGCAGCCGCATGAACGGCTCAACGCACTTCTCTTGTACCTCTTCCCTACTTGGTCCTTCCTCCTGTCCAATTTCTTTCCTTCTCCTCTCGCCCCCTCCCCCCCTCCTCCTCCTCGTTCCCTCTCCCTCCCTCCCTCGCGTGCCATTCGACATCGTCGAGTACCACCCTCACCCCCTTGTTGAAAATCTACACCTACACCACCCACCCCGGCTCACGAAATGTTGTTTCGTCACTTGCCCTTGAGATAAATGAGCACCAATCGGGAGAACCCCCATATTTTTATGAGTGAATGTACCGGTCTGAAGGGTACGTTTCTTTCATCCCACCAACCCCCCCCCCCCCACCCACCACTGATTGTTCATTTCTTCTACTACCCACCCTCGCTACAACGGAAAGGCATTACCCCACCCCATCATTTTTCACTGAACCACCGGTGGCATAAGTATACTTCAGCAACACTCCGCCTCAGCACAGCACACTCCGACAGTCACCAGAAGGCCCAAGGGCCGGGCCGGGCCGGGCCGAGCTTCGAGTTCCCGGGGGCCCCGACCAACGGTTCCCAGACGGTCCCAACGGTACGGCGCGATCGCGGACCGGCGGCGCACGGGGCCATGCCCGAACCCGGGCCCGTAGCCCCGGCGGCAGCGGCAGCGAGCGGCGCCCGGAGTTCCCAGCAACTTCTCAGTGACCGTCCCAGTGGGACGCAGTAGGATGACTCAGTGACTTCTATATCTTTCCGTTCCTATCAGCCTTGTTTCTGGAGCCTCTATTCCTCCTCTCCTCTACGTCTCATCCTCTTCCACTTCCTGTTCTCCTGCACTGGCAGTCTGATTCGCCTTGTCATCATCCTTCGTGTTAGACTCAAGGTTCATTCTTCACCCATCCCTTCTTCCTTGCGCACTGAAAACAAGAGAGTGCAGCATCAGTAGTTGTCCAGGTCATCAAAATCTGCCAGAAACGACAAGATCAGGATAAATACGCAAGAACCAGGCACGAACCGTCGCTGCTAGACTCCTCCTCTGTCTTCACGTCGCTTTGCTTCAATGGCGGGGTCTGCGCAGAAGATCCTTCTCCACTCGCTCTTCCTGCTGACACATCTGCAGCTTCGTCCTTCGTTGTAGATCCTGGCAAGCCTGAGCAATGTTTTTAGCATATGCTGAGCAGGAGAGACTAGTCAAAAGACCAGTGGGATTGAGGTCCATCTCGAACTCCATCTCTTCTCCGCTCTCGTCTTCGCTGCTTCCGCTGCCAAGAAGACTGTTACTCAGCCTTCGACGATCATTCGTAGCAACAAGTGCACCTCTCAAACAGGTTCTGATTGGTTGCAACGTTCTCAAGAGAGCCGTCAACACTGAGATCTCTCTCTGCTGCGCCATCGAACACATTGCCTTCCGCCAGCGGATCCAGCCTTGCCTTCTTCAGTGGAGGTTCCGACTCTTCAAAGGTGGCGACGGGATTCTCAACCGCAGCGTTGTTGTCCTCCTCAAAGCCGTCACTGTCAGATGCCTGCTGGTTCTTAAGATTGTCTTTGTCCTGATTCACAACGTCAAGGGGAACAGACCGATGTCAACATCATGACAGTCACCTCCCCGACGCTGGTAGCTGAATCTACTTGCATCTCAGACGGGCCCTTGTGCTCTTGATCCGACTTGAGCCCGTCCTCCTCTACTTGCGGCTTGCGAGTTGACGCGTAGGAGAACAGCCCCCCCTGGACCAACACGATCAACAAGACGACTGACTGACTTTCAGCAGTTCGACTCGCCTGCAATCGCATGGCATGTGCGGGAGGGTACGGCAGCATGAATCTCGGGTCTCGGACATCAGGCGGTTGTATCGGCTTGTTGAATCTGTCAAAATCTCTGATGCCCGCATTTGTTGTGAAACTACAGTGATTCGAGTAGGCAATTAAATCATCCACTGCGACAGGAGGTCGACCTGCAGAGTTACTATCAGAGACCATTGAAAAGGTAGGGAGCAAGACCTTTGCATAGCTCGATGGACTTTTTTGCTCTGTGAACCAAGAAAGACAAATCGCCTTCGATTGCTCGCAAGTCCTGAATTAACCAGTCGATTCTATCTTCGACTTCATGCACTTCTTCGATCTTCTCCCTTACAAACTTCTGTCTAGCTTGATGTTCTTCAACATCACTCACTCTGTCGGTGATGGACTTGTGCTGACTGATAACTTCCCGCACTAGTGAATGAATTTCATATCCAGAGCTGGACCTTTTGCCTTGCGGGGTCAAGCTATTTTTCACACTCTCAATCAGCTTGATGGTTAACTGCTCCAAATTCCCGACGTCCTTGGCCATTCGTTGCGGTGCCCCAAGCTCCTGCTCTGCATCAGCAAGACTCGTTGCTGTTGGAACATCCGAAGGTCGATCATCCGAGCTCATTGTTCAATCAAGCAACGCAATGCAGTAGAATCAAAATTACACGACGATCATAATTCAACAGTAAAAAGAGGACCTAGCTTACCATCAACCTCAGCTGTTAAATTACAATCCAAAACAATAAAATGAGATAGGTAATAAGATCAAAACCCCCCAAAAAAACAAATCCGGAGGATTGAGCTTGAGCAATAGCTCAACACATATCTCCTGAGTTTCAAATCTCCACGGAGGATGATGCCGACACCATCCTGAAAATCTCAAATTGCAACTGCAGATTTGACTATGCCATTCTTGCAGCTCGTCTATTCATAGGCGGAGGGTGCCCATTCGAGAAGAATCAATGCCTTTCTTTCAGTCACAGAGGAATCAAAGCCCATGGAGAGTCTTCCTTAACCAACGAGCACCTCTTCTTTCCTCATGTCAGGAGAGGGGGGGAGGGACGAAATCAGACGAATTTCCCAGGGCGGATCCTTATCTTGCAGCTCTGTAATGACTAGAAGAAGAAAGAGTTAGACGCTGCACAGGATCATCACGAGCAAGATAAACCATCACACAATGCAGAGCCTGCAAACACGAGTGCCGAACACTCAAATGAGATCACATAACACAGAGGGCTTTCTGATACCCTTTCGTCGCATCTACCAGGAATCACACTATAAGGACGGGTGATCCCCGTCCCACAAGCTGCATCATACAAGAAAATTTTCCTCTGCTCGAGAAATCGAATTCGCACTCTCACTTCTGAACAGAGACGCCTCTCCCCCCGCTGTCACCATCAAACGAGGATGCCCAACACAAATTCACAATGCCACGCTGTGACATATCCCATAATGCCTAATCATCATAACATATTCATGGAGTCTCGACGCTAGAACCTCCTCCTCATCACATGTTGGTGGGATCTCAACCCTCAGCTCTGTCCCGAGCTCATCCCCTCATGTTGTAACACACGAAGCCTCCTTCCTTAGCCTGAACACCGAGATCCTCGTAGTCTGCTCCCACTGGAAGCTTGCATATCTGTGCTCGAGCATACTAGACTCCTTTGCTTGATGCCATGCACTTTGCTTCTCTCCTTCCTAACATGGTCGTTTCTCCTCCTCCTCGCATCTCGTTCTTCTGCCACGTTCTGCTCTTCCTGCACTATTTTCTTGCACCAACGCCGCTGCAGCTGAAGCCATAGCGGCTGATGTGAGCAGAAGGTTGTCAAGCAGGGGGGTAGGGGTACACAGGAGTGGTGGGGGTAATTTGGAATGAGGGGGGTAGGGGGTAGGAGTTAGCTGAGATTCATCTCAGGATCAGGAGGGTGGGTGATTGATAGGAAAAAGGTTGGTAGGGTAGGGCTGAAGGTATCGAATGAACGGGTACAGAATTATTTGAAATGTTATTAAAGGGTAGGGGTGGCTCTATCGTAGCACCCCTCAAGACATTGTTGTCCTTTCGGGGGTACCTTGGAGGTGGGGTACATCTATGGCGTAATTTTAGGGGGTGGTGGTATTTTTTTGACAAGGGTGGAAGGGGTCATAAGAGGGGGTCTCTTGGCACGCGGCGCATAACGGAGTGGAACGTCTTGTAACTGTGTTGCGCAAAATTGTAACCGTCTGCAACCGATAAAAGGAAATGGTCAAGAGAAGATAGCTTGTCGAGGAGAGGAGAGGAGAGGAGAGGAGAGGAGAGGAGAGGAGAGGACAGGAGAGGAGAGGACAGGAGAGGACAGGAGAGGACAGGAGAGGACAGGACAGGAGAGATTCAGGATCACAGTGACTATCTGAAAGAAGCAAGTGACAGACCAGAAGATAAAAACAGATGAAGTACTGCTAATCAAGTCGAACTGATGATCGTAATAGCACTTCAGCAATGATCAGGTTCAAGCAAAGAAAGGACAATGTCTTGACGAGAGGAATATTTCATGATCGGTCTTTCCAAGAGTCGATTGGAAAATAAACAAGCGCATCATGGGAATCGGTCCATATTCTACAAACATAGCAAAGTGCCTGGTCGCCCATTAAGTGCAATGGAGCTTCGAGGGGGCAACTTGTTTGACCCTGGCTCTTCGGAATCCTCGTCGCTGCGGAGACAAGACGACCTCAGGAGGTTTGAGGACTCCATAGCGCAATCATCCTTAACACTCAAGTGGATCAAATTGGTTTGTGATGTATCTAAGTCTGTGCAGAAGGGTAACTGGCTGATAGTTGACAAATCAAAATCAGAACCAAGAGCTTTCTCGGCATGCCAAGTCCTCGTTTGTAAGTCCTCATTCATCAAGAGGCTTTCAACCTGAAGCTCTTGCAGGATTACTATGACGTACGGGATGCATTCATCGCCAATGCTGCCTTGCACTACTCCATGAGGGCTTGCTCAAGGAGGAAGATTTCTTTAGACAAGCTTCCGAGCTCTTCCAGTGCAGACGATTTGCAGGAGGGACACTATCGTGTGCGCCTCGAGGAGAGGCGGAGATTGACCTGTCCAGCCCGCGGACCGGAATACCTTACGGCAACCAAGAAGAAGTCCATTCCTCCTCTCGATCTTAGCAACGTGTTTCCGAGGTTAGCGAGTGAGGAAGGCAGCTGAGGGGTCATGACTTGTTGCAGTCCCTGCTCCACCTACTGCAGTGAAGAGCGATGAAAGGTTCCCTGCTCCACCTACTGCAGTGAAGGGCGATGAGAGGTTCCCTGCTCCACCTACTGCAATGAAGGGCGATGAAGGGTTCCCTGCGGCGTCAGGCGGGACATAAAACCAGGGCAGCAATCCGATAGGATCAAGGATGGGGATACGCAGAGACAGACTGTCTCCCATCAACTAACCAACTGAGCTCTAGTAAACGCTGCGTTACTCGACTAGCTAAGGGAATTGTATCATCAACTCTACAGCGATCGGTAGGTGATCCGACGGATGCTTGAGGTTCGGAAGCCCCCCACCCTGCCCAAACATGAGACCAGCTCACAGCTCCAAGAGATGCCTCACCTGGTTCTGTGCCTCTAACTCGCTGATCATGGACAAACAGCTCACAGCCTGGATGTTGCCTGAGTGAGACGGCGGTCTCTGAGGTAACGGGTGGGTGAGGAAGAAACAAAACCAATCATCAATCACCTTGGGGGTGGGAATAGCGCGGAACAAGATGTAATCGATCGTTCCGTGAAACATGTCTCTGCGTAACACGTGAGAGGAACAAGAAACCGATCTGCATCTTGCCTGTAATTGGTGAAAGCAGGCTCGATCCCAGGGGCTGTTCCTGCTGGCCTTGCCTCCTTTCCCCCCGCAGAGTCTCCGTTGCTCCTTTGCCGTGAGTCCGCTTTGTACCTGCGAGAAGGTTTTTGAGAAAGAGCCAGATTTTAACCAAAAGGACGTACATGCTAGGAGAGCTTGGTTTGAACACTGGCGAGTTAGGATCCAAAGGTTTGGCGAAGAGAAGGCCTCCGTTGGCAATACCAGCGTTGCACTCACCGCTCTTGGCCGCAAGCTCAGGGGACGAGGACTCTGCCGATTGTAATTGGACTTCTCCTTTCGGATTTTTCTTCTCTGGCGTCTTGAATTCAAATTGTGACTGGCTGAATTGCGTGTTTGAAAGCGAAATAGTCTCCATCTGCTTCCATTCCAGACCACAGGCAACATATGACGACGAGAAGCCGGCTTCCCGGGTGAGGTACCTGCATGCCGTAGAGCTCAGAGCCAGGTAGACGAGGAGGGGTCAGTACATACCTGTACACTTCCGATTCAGGAGTAGAATTGAAGTCCCCAGCAAGGATGATGGGGATCCAGCCAATCGAAGATTTGCTCTCCGAAGATGTAGATAGCTCCTCGGCAGCTTTTACAAGGGCCCGTGCCTGGATCAGGTTCGTAAGCTTCAATCCACACACCTTCGCAAAGAACAACCTGCGCTATCTTCAACTCTTCATACGTTGGGTCCCAGAACAGGTGCGCGTTTGCAAGACACATACAACACTTATTTACATTACTAGACCTACGTGGCCGTAGCATAGTGAGCAGTGCAACATTGTGCGTTGCAAAGTCTGGGTGTCCTTCCACCTGCTGTCCCCCCCCGGCATCCGGCTCGCTATCAAACTCAATCGAGCTGACTGACATGCACTCAAAGGCCGTAGATCTGAAGAAAGTCGCACATCCATCAAACTTCGCTGGACTGTTGCGTTGTTTGTAGCAGCCAGTGTAACCCAACTTCCTCATCTCTTTCAGCCAGAACTTCTCATAATTGTCAACCTCCTGCAAGCAGACGATGTCGGCATCCAGCTCGTGGATCACCTCCACTAGAGCCCTCCTCCGCACGTCCCATCGCAAATGCTCAGCCTTGCTTCGAGTGAAGTGTTTGTTCTTAGCATAGCACTGGGCCAGCACATTGTAAGACGCGATCCTGAACTTGAAATCGCTCGAAGTGATGTCTTGAGAATGACAAGCAGGAGATCTGAGCCATCTGCGACCAGCCAGCCGGTTCGTCCGCGGCTGATTGTTCGGCCTGTTGTCATTCTGCTCTTTGGGATGGCGCAACCAAGGGTTGTGCTGCATCTCATTGACAAACTGCAAGGGCAAGAACGGGTTCGCGGACATGTGAGCAAGGTTGTCTTCAGGGTGACGGATGAGGCTCAAGCCTTCGGGTGCTCGTCCATGATGCGCAGGATGGGGAGATGAGACAAGATGAGAGCTCCAGGCCTCCCCTGGATAGACAGCCCCTGTGAAGCGAAGAGGGTAAGCGATGCCGAGAAAGGAAAAGAAATTCATGTCCAATCCCTGTCTTTGCCACTCTTTTGCCCCTCCTTCAAGCTTCCTTTCGTTGAGGTACAGAACCATATCATAATTTGTCTTGAATCCCTTCCCTGCTCGCGTGCACCCGATAGCCATTCAACCCCTCAATATACTTAATCTTCTCCTCATGCAATATACTCTTCTCATCCTTTACAAACTTTTCCACCCTAGCTTTGCTGCATTTGACTCCTGTTCTCCTCTAATCTTAGCTTCTCTCCACTATTGCATTTCCTCGCCCTTCCCCTCTCCCCTCCCCTCCGTCGTCGTCTACACACCCATCTCAACTTTCTTTCACCCTCGTGCCATTCTCTGCTCTGCTTCACTGCACCTAGTCTACTCTACTCTACCATCTCACTCTCCTCTCCTCCTCCCCTCCTCCCCTCCCCTCCTCCGACTGCTCCCTGCTCCCGCCATCCCTGCCACTTCTCTTTGTATCGCCCTCTCAAGAATTCTCTACCCTACCCATAAATCACTGGTAATTTGGTTATAAAATACACCGGTACGTATAAATATCATCACCCCTACCCTGATTTTTCATATGTTTCCGAGTCTCTTTCAGAAAAAAAAGGTCATGTACCCGTGTATGCATGTCTCAAAAACAACCACCCCTGGGGGTGTTTTGGCCCCCTCACCACCCTACCCATTATGTACCTCCTGTCCAGAAATATTTTTTTGCGTTCTGCACTGATTTCGAGAGGACCCTACCCCCTATTTCTGTTGAGCACCCCCATCTTCTACTTCCCAGGCACCCACCCCTACTTTTTGAAACATTCAAGGGCGATAAGACCCCTCACCTCCAGTGGCCCTTTTCATGATCGGGGTCGCCATTTCTGACATGAAGAGAACAACAAGACAGGAGAAGACGAAGAGAACTTAAGAGACGAGGAGGAGGAGGAGGAGGAGAGCGGGGAAGGACAAGAGAGGAAGAGAACCGGAGAACGGGAGAAGTAACTCAGTTGGACCTGTTTCTGATTTGATACATCAAGGAGCAAGAACGATAAAAGGTAGGTAAACTTTACAAGGTAGCATGTTGAGATTTAGGGAGTTTGAAATCGACGGTGTGACATCTTCACTCATTGCTGTATGAGCTCTTCGTCATCGGCTGCATGTCCTGGTCCTCACGCTGCATGGGAACTTTGCCGCCGAACTTGAAGAAGCTGAGACGAAAGCAACATGTCAGAGAGGAGAAGACAAGTGGCCGCTCATCACCAGCTGAACAGACTTGTCTGCAGCAGGCTGTACACATGGTGAAACTTGAGAGACATCAGTTCAAACAAGATCTGCGCCGACGAGTCGTTCCATTTCAGCCTGTTGGGGATCCAATCCTGCTCTCCAACTCTCATCTTGGAGGCATCCTCCTCTACAAACACTGACCTGTACGACCGGGCCCAAGATCACCTTTGAATAGACCACTGCATGGAACAAGCTGCCCAGCCCCAGCACAACCAAAAAGACAACCTGATGTTGAGTCGTGAGAAATGAGAGAGGGAGGGAGGTATCCGGGAGAACAGGATTGGAGAGGTCTATGGAAAGGAGGGGATGGGGTGAAGAGAGAGGTAGACAAGGGAAAGGGAGAAGGAGGAAGTGAGTCGAAGTAGATACCTTGAAGTTGTGCGAGTAGAAGGTGTTTTCACTCGGCGCGTACCATTCGTTGCCGCCGATTCTCTCATAGGGGAAGAGGATCTTGTTGACAGGAGACGAGCTGATCTTGAAGTATGTTATCATGTCGCAGTTGATCTGGAAGGATAACAGTCACAACTCATCAGCTCCTGCTCCTCCTCCTCCTCCTCCTCTTCCTCCTCTTCCGGCTCCTCTTCCGGCTCCGGCTCCTGCTCCTGCTCCTGCTCCTGCTCCTGCTGCCGCTCCTACCCTTTCCCCTCCTCTTCATTTTCCATACTAACCAGACTCCCTCCCCTTCCCCTCTTTCGTTCTTCAGACCCCCCTGTTACGACCTTGAAGGCGCAGTTGTAGTCTGTGCCGTTGAGGAGGAGGAGGAGGAGGATTGGAGTTGCCATGAGGACAGAGACGACGATAAGAGCCTGTCAGATCTTGTCAGTTGAGCAGAGCAGCGAGACGAGGTGAAACCATGTTCTTCCACCACGGCAGGCGGTAGAGATGTCCGTTAGAGTAGACGATAGCGAGGTCGACAGTGAACCATATGGCCCAGATGAAGAAGAGAGGAGACTCGTAGTTGTCCGACCGGGTTTGCCATTTGTACCTGAGGTGAAGGGAGGAGGAGGTGAGGGAGTCGATAGGTCCAGGTTAGAACACTCACAAGGCGTCGCCACTCTGGAAGGGTTTGAACCATGAACTGCAATCACCATCAGCACTATCACCATGACCATCATCATTGTTGTGTGTTGCATCTTACCGGGTGAACAAAACGGCGAGAAGAATACCCAGAATGGAGAGGTAGAGAAGGACAGATATGGTTGCTGAGATGACATTCTGTGGACCCAACAAAGATCCCTGAAAACCAACATGATGATCTCAGAGTCGTAGCATCACAATCACAATATTCAATGCGAATCATCATCAAAATATCCATTCTTCCTTCGCCCCTCCTCTCTCTGCAGCGAGTTCTTACCTCCGGGATGCGCGGAGATAGTCGACTGGAAGGCTTCGACAAGGAGATTGCCCTGGGGGAAGAGTGAGGACGAGCAAGGATCGGGAGAGTTGAGCACCAGAGGAAGAGGGAGGTGGAGACGAGGTCAAGGTAGAGGTAGCCAAGGGGAGGGAGGTACAGCCCAGCTATGAGAAACATGATGTTTTTCGCCTGTTCAAAAGGATTCACTCGTTGCCTCCTACACCACCACCACCACCACCACCACAGCCTCTACCTTCACTTTCACTCCCTCCTCCTCCTTGTCCATCTTTGCCAACATCCTCTCCTCCTTGACATACCTGAGTCCACACAATTCCACGGACGATAAGGAAGCGATAGGCAGCAAATGATGTGCACAGCGAAGCCCGTCCTTCCCCTGAAGCCATGTCAGGCGAGGAGGGGGTGAACCAAGGAGGAGAAAGAGGAGAGGAGGAGACTGGAGGGGAAGCTTGTTCGAGACTTACTGAGAAGGAGAGTGAGAGCAGCGAGGGAGTCACTGTCCGTGCTGAACGGAGCTGCCACGGAAGCTTCTGCTCGACCTGAAATCGAAGAGACGTCAAGGGTAACGGGAGGAGGAGACGAGGAGGGAAGAAGGAGGAGGGAGCAATGAAGGAGGAAGGCCGGCAGGGAGGGGAGGAGGAGGAGGGGTGATCAGTCTGTTTACCCGACAGTGCTAGCCCAGCGTGAGCCGATCTCAGGGCACCACTGCCATTCAGCATCAGAAAGGAGACCAGAGTCGTCGTCGCCATTACCTGTCGTTCCCTCCGTCCCCGCACATCCCGACGGTTCTCATGTTGTTGGCGAACTCTCGAACAACCTGCACCTTCTGATGGGGAGTCATCCGGCCGAACACACGGATCCGCGGACACTCGCAGGTTGAACGTCCTCGCACTCGGCAAGACTTGCTGGCAAAGAAGCGTGAGAGGAGTCGAGGCAGAGATGAAGATGTGAAGCGAAGAGTAGGGAGAAGAGAAGATGAAGCACACTGAAGATGAGAGGAGGAGGGAAAGGGAAGGGAGGTAAAGGGAAAGGAAGGAACAGGAAAGGATGGAATGGGATGGGAAGGGAAGGGATATCACCGGCAGTGAAGGAATTCGCCCATGGATCCGTTGTTGAGGAGGTGTTCAAAGACATCTCCACTGACAACCAGACTTGTCTTCATCGAGCTTTCGTCTCGCTCGTCGTCCCTCTTCCCTTCCTCCCTCGTCTTCTCCCCGTCTCTTGCACTCTCCGCTGCTCTCCCTGACTCAGCATCCTTTTCGCCTGCCGGCTTGCGCTCCTCGGAAACCACTTGGGTCCACGACAGATTCTTCTTATCATCCAACTTCCCAACGAACACAAAGTGGTCTTCAGGGATGATACCAACGGTCTTGGCAACCGCAACTCCAGTCAAAGCAGAGTCCCCTGTTATAACAAGAGACCTGCAAGTCAGCCACGACACCAGGTCCGAAACTCCGCTACCGCACCTGTCACCATGACGCACTCCACTCCTCCATGCTGCATCTGTGAGATACAGTCTGCGCTATCGACCTTTGTCGGGGGAGAGTCGGTCAGAGGAGGAGGAGGCAGGAAGCAGGAGGTGGTCACCTTGGGCTCGTTTCGGAATGCGATGAGTCCCAGGAAAGTCAACGAGGACTCTGCTTGTTGTCTGCTGATGGTCAGGATCTGATCGTCATCGACATTCTTGCAGGCGATCGCGATGATGTAGCAACCTGACAACGACTGTCAGGTTGCTAGAGAGAGAGGAGCGCATCATAACGTTACCCCTCTTCGAGTGCAACTCCACAGCTCTCCTCCACTTGTCATCGAGCTTCGGCGAGCACCTTGTGCTGACAGCCTCAAACGATCCTTTGACAAAGACAAGGTTCCTGAGCGACAGCACGCGTGAGGGAGGCAGGCAAACACAACAGGCTCACTTCTTCTCATCGCCGCGTTCCTTCGCTGTGAGGACTGACATGGTCATGGTCTGATGATCAAACGTCCACTGCTTGACGATCGTCCACTCGTTGGCTGCCTTCATCCCCTCCTCGTACTTCCACCCCAGCTGCTCCGCTGCCTCTACCATCCTCAGCTCGACTTGATGTCCTATCAGTTGCTTCCCAAGCCGAGAGACTGTGTGCGTCAGCGCCAGGGCAGCAGCCAGAAGCTCATCCAGCTCCTCCCCTCCTGCCACGTAGCCTTCGAGGGGATGGAGCTCCTCCCAGGACGCTCTCGTCTCCGACTTGTTGCTAGCAGGCAGGAAGCCGATGAGGTCGAGCCCGGTCTTGGTGATGGTCCCGGTCTTGTCGAAGCACATGAGGTCAATCTTGCACAAACGTCTCACAACATCGAACATTGAAACTTCTCTCCTCACCTTCCCTGCCAGCGCCATCCTGTCGACATCCCTCACGTAGATCTGGATCGTCTCGTCTGCTGAAGCTTGCTCTCCTTCCTCTTGCTCACGCGTCTCCTTCGCCGGTTTCTTCCTGTTGAGCCGCTGGGCTGAGGCCAGCTGACCGCCCAGCACAGCGACGCTGAGCAGCGGAGAGACCATGGAGATGAGCATGAAAGTTGCAGCAAGGACTGAGCTCAAGTTGAACTCGTAGTTCAAGTTGACAGCAAGGAAATCCCAGAAGGCGATGAAAACCAGCAATGCCAGGACAAACTTTTGTGATCAAAGTCAGCAGAATGAAACAGATAAGGAGGGGGGAGGTGAGGGTCAGGAGAGAGGAGAAGAGGGGCACTTGCGAGGAGGTGAGAGGAGGGGAGGAGTGAAGGATTGAGAGAGGTTGAGAGGGTAGGACAGGGACTGAGGAGAAAACGTTTCAAACTTTCACCTGAGCCTCGGCTACGATGTGCAGTCGAGTAGAGGACCCAAAGAGAAGAGTCCGCAGGAGAATCCCGCGCGTGCTCCGAGGTCCCACATGGGTGACGATTGCAAGCCCTCCTTCGGACACGTGATCCGGCAGCTCCGTCTGATCCGCTCCTCCAGCATGCAGCAAGCAAGTCCCTGCAAACAAGAAGCTGAACACAGCTCGTGTCAGGCATGACGCAGCGTTCGAGTTCTCCTCACTGTTTCTTGTGCTCGGCGCTATCGGGGATGCGCACACGCTTGTCTTCGGACACAGCAAACTTCTGGATGGGCATGGTTTCTCCAGTCAGTAGAGACTCGTCGACCACGCAAGAGCCACTGATCAAGATGCAGTCTGCTGTCAGCAGCGGTCGGTGATGAGGATGATTCTCGTTCTCAGCGTCTTCATCCTCCAGCTTGGAAGTCAGACAGAGGATGTCTCCCACACACGCTTCATGGGAGTCAACGCTCTTCCACTGGTTGTCCCGGAAGACCAAGATCGTCTCGTCCAAGGTCGCCATTTCCTTCATCTTCAATCTCTGCATCCTCTCGGTGTAAACCTTGATGACGCCACATGTCAGGACCAGCAGGGACATCATCAGCCCGACGGAGACGTAGTCCCAGTAGAAGGAGAGGGTCACCGCAAAGAACTGATAGATGTAGAAGAACGAGAAGAACTCTGTCACGCACCCTTCAAGGATCGAGGGGATGTGCACAGTGATCTCATTTCGCCCCTGAGGACCATCCAGCATAACAGAGGCCATCTCGCTGGAAACTCCTCCTTTCCTGTGCATCTCGTTCGCCCAAACCCCCGTGATGTCTCGCTCAACCTTCATACCCTCGTCATCATCGTTGTCGTACTGGGGATCCGAAGTGAAGGCATCCTTGGAGCTGCAGTACACGTAACGAAGCAGCTGCCACTCGATCATGCGGAGATTCCTCGCTGTGATGGATACGGGAACAACGTCTTCAAAGTCCTGACGGTTTCCGTTCTCATCCTCGATGCTGCTGTGTACCTTGACATGGGTCGCTCTTTCGAGCGAGCACGGGCACATGTAGAATATAGCAAGAGAGGAATGGTGTCGCCGGAGCCCTACAAGAAGCAAGAAGGTTGTAATCCACGGCAAGAGGAAGGCTCGTGTGAAGGAATCCCAGGTCACATGCTTGTTTTCCTCTCCTTTGCCAGGCGAGTAAGGCCAGTAGTGCTGATAATTTGACAGGAAAGTGATGATCAGAGAGCATTGCATCCAAATCAAGAAGATCACTGAAAGGGCTCGACAGGATCTTCCCAGCCTCGAAGGGCGATATCCTTTCTGCGTCTGATTTTCATTGGGCAGGTAGACGCAATGATCAGCGAATCGTTTCGCCTGCAGTCGGCTTCTTATGTAGACTACAGCATTGAAGACGAAAAGAGCAGAGAATAACACGAAATTTACAATGTAGCCTGGAGCTCCATAATTGATATCAATCACTGGAGTTGCTTGCGGCATCTTCCTCGTCCTTTACAAGCAGATTTGTCACAATTCCTGGAAAAGTTAAGTATGTGGTTCCGAATTTGTTCGAAACCCCCTTAACATCAAGGAAAAGATTCTTCAAAGCAATCACAAATCCTTCGATGTTGAATCTTTATCCCATCTGGCAATCAATAACAGTTAGCCTCCAACATTCACGGACTTCAGTAGCATGTTTCCTTTCCACACAGCTGTTACCTCCATGACTTTGCTTCCCTCCGCCCCCCTCTTGCCGTCTTCGCGCTTCTTCTTCCCACTCTTTTCGAGGCATCTTCGGCATATTTTCTCTCTTCCCCTTCGTCTTCTCCTGATCCTCCTCCCCCTCGCTCCCCTTCCCGCCTTTCGCACTCCCGACCATTCCATGCCCTGCAGACAAACAAGGCCTTAGAGAGGGGGGTGGGGGGGTGCGTTTTTCTGACCCCCACCCTCCCTTCATCCATGCGATGACCGGTAGGGGTATTGTTGAGCATGGTGGGATGTGAATTTGAAGGGTTGGGGGTACTAGAAATCCCGGAATGTATAGACCAAATCAAGGCAAATGAAGGGGTGATGTCGCAACATGTACCGGTGCTGGTAGTCCTCAGAGGGGTAATTTGGAGGCAATATTCAGTCATTTCCAGGGGGTAGGGTGGACAGGGAACACGGGGTTTGGGGGGAGGTCACAGTTCAAAGCAAACCTGATCCGCCTCAGAAAGATCAACCCACCCCACCCCTTAGATCCCATGCCGTGTGTTTTAAAGGTAACCACCCCCTTTTGGTAACCCCACCCTTCGCGCACTACCCAGAAGTTACCTGTTCCACCCCGTCACATCATTCCTGTACCCCCTGATTCTCAGTCAAATATCTGGAAGTTGAAGGGGTATCATAAAAAATTATCAGGGGTCATCAATTAGTACCCTACCCCATTGGTATGTTTCATCGGGGGAGATGTCGCATCATTCACCGTGGGATCGCACAGTGAACAACAACCGTCCTCCTGCTCCTCCTCCTGCTCCTCCTCCTGCTCCTCCTGCTCCTGCTGATCCTCCTGCTCCTGCTCCTTCTCCTCCTGCTCCTGCTCCTTCTCCTGCTCCTGCTCCTGCTCCTGCTCCTCCTGCTTCTCCTGCTCCTGCTCCTTCTCCTGCTTCTCCTCCTCCTGCCCCTGTCCCTGCCCTCCTCCTGCCCCTCCTCCTGCTGCTGCTCCTCCTCCTGCTGCTGCTGCCCCTGCCCCTGCCCCTGCTGCTGTTGCTGATCCTCCTCCTTCTCGTAGCATTTCTCTCCTTCGTCCTCCTTTTCATGGTACTCCTCCTGTTATCGTGCTCTGGGTACTCCTCACATTCCAGCGATCTACCTCCTCCTCCTCCTGATCATCATCATCCACTGCTGCTGCCAGTTCCTACCGCTCCTTTTGCTCCTGTTCCTCATCCTCGTCCCTGTAACGGACCTGTTCCTGCTCCCATGCCGGAACTTTAACTTCGACTCGCACTTGAGATCCTGATCAAGCTCAAGTTCAAGCAAATGTCACGCCCACGCCCCGACGCCTACGCTCATGCGCACGCCCACATGCTGCCACTCCTATCGTCCCTGGCTGCAAACACCTATATACCTGCTTTTTTTGTTCATTGTACTGGTGCAAATAGTGTTTCATCACGGTTTTTAGAGGGTCAGGATGTGTAGCTCAAACGATGACAAGTCAGAGTGAACGGTGCGATTCATGTCAAGATAGATGAAAAGCTCAGTATCGATGAGACATGCCTCGGTCAACCTGTGCCTGAGATGCTTGTGTGATCGGTTGTGTCCACGGGAAGCACACATCTGTTTTGGTAGAACCTCGTTCCTCGCTGACCATCGGGCAATAGGATATGCAGTGAAGGCTTGGACAAAATTGCCTGGTCTATCACGCAACAAACCTGTTGATACAGCAAGGCATGGCGGACGCAGCGAGCAAGGGCAAGGATGTGCAGGAGGAATCTTTTGGAGAGAAGAACGGGGTCGAAGACGACAGGAAGGAGAGTGGAAGCGATTCGCAGAGTGAGTTGAGCTTCTGGTCTTTGATCGAGCTCTTGAGCCCTCTATCGCCGATGGCATCGTCGATGGCGGAGAGGACGGAGGACTCGAAGAAGAAGAAGAAGAAGATCCCCTACGGGTTCAGAGAATCCTTAGTCCCCGAAGATTATGTCCCTCCTCCCAAGAAGCATCCCATCGTCTTCGAGGGCTCAATGATCGGCAAAGAGGTCGGCGCTCTCGCTGTGCCTTGCTTGAGTCATTCTTGCTGACCTTCATCCAGCTGCACGTGAGGAACTTTCATCGGCACTTTGCTTGTTACCAACCGACGGGTCGTTGCTCCTCCTCCCTGTGCATGTGCGAGTGACGTGGCCCCAGACTTCAACGAAGCGCTTGTAAACGAACTGGAGAAGCTCGGAGAGTACAAGCTGCCAGCATGGTACTCCTCGATGCTATGCAGTGCAGCACCGACTCTGGTGGAGCACTCAGTCAAGTATGAGAGAGTGGAGCTGTACGACAGGTTGTTCCCTGCCTCCTGATAGCAGAGTCATCTGACGTACAGTCACAGCTCGGGAGGGCTTCTTGCCGTCGACTGGGCCTTCCCTGAGGCGAACGACTGCTGTCCTGACGGAGAACCCTCGAGCGAGTGTGTTCTCTGTGTGTTCCCAGGACTGGCTGGGCACAGCGACAAAGATTACATCCGCAGCTTCGTCAAGAGAATCCTGACGGCCCTCAGGTGGAAAGTGTGTGTGCTGAACTGGCGAGGGTTCAACTGCCCGCTGAAGAACGGGAAGGTGTCGAGTCCCGTGGACCTGACGGACATGACCATGACGATCTACCATGCCTCCAAGCGGTTCCCCACCTCTCCGATCTTCGCTGCTGGGTTCTCGATGGGGTCAAATCAGCTAGTCAAGTACATCGGGATGAACGCGGAGGATCACATGCTGACCGCTGCCTTGTCGGTCTGCAACGGGTTTGAGTACGAGCTTCACCTGCAGCGGCTGGAGCAAACTCCGCTAGGAGAGCAGGTCTACAGCCGGGGGATGACGTACCTCCACCAGGAGTACCTCAGGAACTACGGGGAGGAGCTGCGGGAGCACGTCGAGGGCTTCGAGCTGGAGAAGGCGCTTGCTGCTGCGAAGCACTCGGAGCTGGACGAGGTCAGAGCCTCATGGGAGGGGGACGTGACATGAGGATGACGCGGGCTGAGGCAGGTGCTGGTGAAGCAAGTGTACGGCTACCACGACATGCAGGAGTACTACAATCAGGTTGCAAGCCGGCCCTTCATCTCCAAGGTCAACATCCCCCTGCTCTGCCTCCAGTCCAGCGACGACCCGCTCTTCACGGAAGGAGACTGGAGGCACGTGATGCGAGGAGCTGCGGCCTCCCTTACCGTGAGACTGGCAGGTGCTGGCAGGTGCTGCCGGTGGATGAGCTGCATGACAACAAGTGAGCAAGCAGAGCCGTCTGCTCGCTACGTGCGAGGGGCTGACGGGAGTGCAGGCACATCGTCTACTTTGAGAGCGAGTACGGCAGTCATCTCAACTTCGTGGAGGCCACCATCCAGTACCTTGTTGCTTGTTTGTGTCGGGAGGGGAGGGTGAGGCGGCTGCAGGCAAGGGCTGCTGCGTGAGGAGTACACGTTCTGCGATCGAGCGGCAGAAGCGTTTTTCCGCTTTGCTTCGAGCACCTCGGATCGAAAGATTTTGTTCTAAACGAGGAGACGGATCGCGTCTGACTGCATCGCTCGCATATGATGCGCCACACTTGCACCGAGAGAGGCTCGAGAGCAGAGCTTGGTCGGAGCTTTATGTCTCGTGACTGCAGTCAGCTCCTTCTCGCCCCTGGATGAGCTGGACCCTTGCGATGAACCTGCTGGAGTCGCCTGCCGCCTCTAGACAACCTCTCTCCTGCTCCGCAAGCTCATCGCAGCGGCCCTCGCTTTATTACGCTTTTCCTCCGACACGTTCCCCCTTACAGCTCGTCCTCGTCGGCCCCTAGCGACATGTACCGCGCCAGCCACGCCTCCTCGATGACCACTCGCTCGCCGCTGCCTCTCCTCGAGTACGGCCAGCGTCCGGCGCCGAGCGCTCTGCAGGCTTTCTTGAGGGCGGAGACCGAGAGGCCCTGAGGAAGAGCTCAGTCAGGCTTGGAGGGTGATGGACACCTCCAGTGACAGAGACAGAGACAAAGAAGGAGAGAGGGAGAAGGAGGGGGAGGGGGAGGGGGAGACAGGATGGCAGGGGACGGGGGGGTTTGAAGTGCGGTGAGGAGGAGTCTCTGTACTCACCAGCTCCCTTGCCGCGTCCTGCTGGCTGAGATGCATGAGGGAGCAGATCCGGTCGCGGGTGATGCGCTGGAAGGAAGGAGCGCGAGGGCAGTTGGGGGTATCAGGGGAGGGGCGGCGGGGATAGACGATGCGAACGGTCTGAATAGGGGGAGGAGCGGGAGAGGGATGCGGAGGGGGAGGGGAGTTTGAGGGAAGAAGGGAGGAGGGGGAGGGAGCGGAGGATGAGGAGGGGTTCAGGGAGAAGAGGGAAGCGAAGGGGCAGAGAGCGGAGGGAAGAAGGGAGGAGGGAGGGAGCGGGAGGGAGCAGTCGCTCATGGGCTGAGGTTACTCGTCGCTTTCCGGCGCCCGACGTCCCTAGATACTCTGTAGGTATCCATAGCCCCCTTATGTTTTCAATCGCTGCGCATTCGCTTTTGTTCGACTTCATGATGTTGTAAACTTGCTTTTGACCCTCAGTTCTCTTGTATCCCGGTCACATGACGATGCTGAGGCAGGCTTGAGTCTTTTTGGTTTCAATCAAAGTAAGCCCAGTACCTTCAAGCCCGACATATACATAGGAGAGCCACTAAGAGATCGGAGAGGGGCTGTGAGCCGTGGGAACACACAGACAGGCAAACGGTCACGTGACGATGCTGAGCGTGAGCTTGAGTCCAGGCTCTTGGTTTCAATCGACTCGAGTGGTGCGCATTCGCTTTTGTTCGACTTCATGTTGTTGTAAACATGACTGCTTTTGGCCCTCAGTTCTCTTGCGTCCCGGAGTCCATCCAGAGGTCCCGTGTCCCTGGTGTGACAGGCAAACACGTTTTACCTGGTCACATGACGATGCTGAGGCAGGCTTGAGTCTTTTTGGTTTCAATCAAAGCAAGCCTAGTACCCCATATACCCTGCTTAGATCCCGTATCTAACCTGCTACCCTACCCCCCTGGCAGTGTCTGATTGTTCCAATACGCAGCTGTTGGTATCTTGTAATGAGTGGCTCTCACCCCCATGAGAGCCCTTGTACGAGTCAGATCACATAGGAGAGCCTCTAGGAGATCTGAGAGGACCCCTGAGGTAGAAGCCAAGTTCCAGTACGAAGGTTTTAGAGCCCTGCAAGCTGAAAAAAAAAAAAAGATATATAAAGGGGCTAGCGATTGCAAGCTTCAGGGAGACGTCGGGCGCCGGAAAGCGACGAGTAACCTCAGCCCATGAGCGACTGCTCCCTCCCGCTCCCTCCCTCCTCTCTTCTTCCCTCCGCTCTCTGCCCCTTCGCTTCCCTCTTCTCCCTGACCCCCTCCTCATCCTCCGCTCCCTCTCCCTCCTCCCTTCTTCCCTCAAACTCCCCTCCCCCTCCCCCTCCCTCTCCCGCTCCTCCCCCTATTCAGACCGTTCGCATCGTCTATCCCCGCCGCCCCTCCCCTGATACCCCCAACTGCCCTCGCGCTCCTTCCTTCCAGCGCATCACCCGCGACCGGATCTGCTCCCTCATGCATCTCAGCCAGCAGGACGCGGCCAGGGAGCTGGTGAGTACAGAGACTCCTCCTCACCGCACTTCAAACCCCCCCGTCCCCTGCCATCCTGTCTCTCCCTCTCCCTCTCCCTCTCTCCCTCTTTGTCTCTGTCACTGGAGGTGTCCATCACCCTCCAAGCCTGACTGAGCTCTTCCTCAGGGCCTCTCGGTCTCCGCCCTCAAGAAAGCCTGCAGAGCGCTCGGCGCCGGACGCTGGCCGTACTCGAGGAGAGGCAGCGGCGAGCGAGTGGTCATCGAGGAGGCGTGGCTGGCGCGGTACATGTCGCTAGGGGCCGACGAGGACGAGCTGTAAGGACGATCTAACACACAGACGGGGATCTCTCTTGGACCGTGATGCAGATGCGTGTGTGTCGTTTTACGTTGAGTGAACATAGTCAGCCCTTGATTGAAGTCTGACTTGATCTATCTATCTTCAACCGAGCCTCGGATCATCAACACTGTCGTATCCCAATACGAAGTGGACCAGATTCTCGACAAACGTCAACGTGGTCGTGGTATTCAATATCTCGTTCATTGGAAAGGCTATCCCAACCTAGCTGATCATTCCTGGAAATCAGCTTCCGCACCGATTTGAACCTTCTTTATTGCCTCATCAAGCGTCACCTTCCCGCAGCTCTTTTTCCTCTTCCTCTGCAGATCCTTTACTTAAGGTTCTTCTGAGCGAAGTCAACGACAGGGGGGACCTTCTTGTCGTCACGCAGTGGGAGCGATGTTGTATTCTGGACTCATACCGGGACCCCCTTGGACGTAGCGTAGGGAAATGGGATGACAATGCCAGACAGCATGGCGCTGATCTGATGGGTACGTGTGCTTAGTAAACAGTGATTCTAAAATCAGTTGAGCTCAAGGTCCTACGCAAGGTTGTGTGTACAAAAACCACCATGACTGCCCGTACCAATCAAGAGAGACACCTGTCGGAGGAAAGCTCTGGTAACGAGCAAGAGACAGTGGTCATGATGAATATGAATGGAACGGAAACTACTGCGAAACGCGACAGAACTGAGTGTGGGCGATGACATGCCAAGCGAGATGCCCTGCGTCAAGTATGCAGGGAGGATGGAGGCAGCTCTCAGCAAGCAGTTGCAAGATCAAAAGTCTAGGTGCCGACAGGTGAAAAGACAAGATGTTTCTTCTTATCCACCACCCACCAACAGGCGGAGGGTCGGAGGAGAGCCAGCAGGTCAAGGAGAGGACAAGGATGAAGGGTTTCCTTCTATGCATCTGTGAGAGTAGACCAGCTGCTGCTCTTCCCTACTCCACACTAAAGCATGATGCTCAACCAAGCCCACTCGCTCCTCCTACACCATCACAACACAAGGCCCTCCTAAACGCTCATCGCTCGCTCGCTGGTTCACTGCCAACCGCTATCGTACAGCAGAGAAAGGGCGAGCACGCCACAGAGCAGTCCTCGCTCCTCACGAGGTGAGGAGAGGAGACTGAGGGAGAGCGAAAGCGTGGGAGAGCGAGCAGAGACAAGAGACTTGCGCATGTGGCAGGGTACAAGCTGAGAGGGGTTGCTGAAGCAGCCGCAGGTGCTCAGAGCGAGAAGCAGGAGGAGGAGTTGATAGGATATGTTTACTGACTTTCTGTCTTTCTCAAGTAGGTGTCCTAGGCAGTATCGTTTCTTAGGAAATTAGATTACTTACTTTTCTTTATCTCTAACGTTGATTTGGAGTAAATTGCCGTTGAATTGTGCATTGCTGTCACACGCTTGCTCTTTGGTTTCTTGACGGGATCACTTCGTGTGTCAACACTGGATCGAGAGATACTTGTAGGAAGTTTTCCTAACAGGAGTGAGGGCGCGTCTCTGCTGCTTCAACTCGCAATTGAGATCCTGATCAACGTCAAGCTCATGCCAATATTACGCCCACGCCTACGCTCATGCCCACGCCCACATGCTGCCACTCCTATGTACCTGCTCGACTGGAGGCAGGTGATGCGAGGAGCTGCGGCCTCCCTTACCGTGAGACTGGCAGGTGCTGGCAGGTGCTGCCGGTGGATGAGCTGCATGACAACAAGTGAGCAAGCAGAGCCGTCTGCTCGCTACGTGCGAGGGGCTGACGGGAGTGCAGGCACATCGTCTACTTTGAGAGCGAGTACGGCAGTCATCTCAACTTCGTGGAGGCCACCATCCAGTACCTTGTTGCTTGTTTGTGCCGGGAGGGGAGGGTGAGGCGGCTGCAGGCAAGGGCTGCTGCGTGAGGAGTACACGTTCTGCGATCGAGCGGCAGAAGCGTTTTTCCGCTTTGCTTCGAGCACCTCGGATCGAAAGATTTTGTTCTAAACGCAGAGCTTTATGTCTCGTGACTGCAGTCAGCTCCTTCTCGCCCCTGGATGAGCTGGACCCTTGCGATGAACCTGCTGGAGTCGCCTGCCGCCTCTAGACAACCTCTCTCCTGCTCCGCAAGCTCATCGCAGCGGCCCTCGCTTTATTACGCCTTTCTTCCGACACGTTCCCCCTTACAGCTCGTCCTCGTCGGCCCCTAGCGACATGTACCGCGCCAGCCACGCCTCCTCGATGACCACTCGCTCGACGCTGCCTCTCCTCGAGTACGGCCAGCGTCCGGCGCCGAGCGCTCTGCAGGCTTAGGGAAATGGGATGACAATGCCAGACAGCATGGCGCTGATCTGATGGGTACGTGTGCTTAGTAAACAGTGATTCTAAAATCAGTTGAGCTCAAGGTCCTACGCAAGGTTGTGTGTACAAAAACCACCATGACTGCCCGTACCAATCAAGAGAGACACCTGTCGGAGGAAAGCTCTGGTAACGAGCAAGAGACAGTGGTCATGATGAATATGAATGGAACGGAAACTACTGCGAAACGCGACAGAACTGAGTGTGGGCGATGACATGCCAAGCGAGATGCCCTGCGTCAAGTATGCAGGGAGGATGGAGGCAGCTCGCAGCAAGCAGTTGCAAGATCAAAAGTCTAGGTGCCGACAAGTGAAAAGACAAGATGTTTCTTCTCATCCACCACCCACCAACAGGCGGAGGGTCGGAGGAGAGCCAGCAGGTCAAAGAGACGACAAGGATGAAGGGTATCCTTCTATGCATCTGTGAGAGTAGACCAGCTGCTGCTCTTCCTTCCTCCACACTAAAGCATGATGCTCAACCAAGCCCACTCGCTCCTCCTGCACCATCACAACTCAAGGCCCTCCTACACGCTCATCGCTCGCTCGCTGGTTCACTGCCAACCGCTATCGTACAGCAGAGAAAGGGCGAGCACGCCACAGAGCAGTCCTCGCTCCTCACGTCTTGGGGGCCGAGCACGCGCACTTGAACTCCTCGATCTCCTTCTGTTCGCCATGAGTCAGCGCTGCAGCAGCCACCCCGGCCCATGACAGGTGAGGAGAGGAGACTGAGGGAGAGCGAAAGCATGGGAGAGCGAGCAGAGACAAGAGACGTGCGCATGTGGCAGGGTACAAGCTGAGAGGGGTTGCTGAAGCAGCAGCAGGTGCTCAGAGCGAGAAGCAGGAGGAGGAGCGAGGGCACGTCTCTGCTTCACCTCGCACTTGGTTCGATCGCCCCCGTTCTCCTTGAGGCACTTCTGCAGCTCATCCACCTTGCATGAGACAACCTCCTTCAACGTCTTGCCGCCGCCCTCTGCCTCCTCGCCCGCAGCCCTCCCTGACGCGTTCCCCATGGCTGCTACCTGCAGCGTAAGAGAGTCATCTCCGGAGTCAGTTTGCCAGGGAAGGAGAAAGTACAGCTGGGGCAGGCAGCAAGGAAGCAAGGAAGCAAGGAAGCAAGGAAGCAAGGAGGGAGGGAGGGAGGGAGGGAGGGAGGGAGGGAGGGAGGGAGGGGAGGGAGAAGACTTGCGGAAAGACAGCAAACATTCCACATGAGAGTTTTCATATACTACCAAAAGGCCTCGAGGGTAGTACCTTCTCTGCCTCGATGGCCTGACGCGAGAAGCGAGGGGGCAAGAAGAGGAGAGAGATGTGGAAGGAGAGGGAGGAGACAGAGAGAGGAAGGAGATGTGAACAAGCAGAACAGGTTTTCGGGGTTTATCTTGTAGCAACAACTGAAAGAGCAAGAGGGGGCTGGGGCAAATGCTGTCAAACTAGTTGTGAAGTTTGTAGAGCTGTGCATTGAGTCCTTTGCTTCCAGATGTTCGATCTCATCCGCAAGTTATCCGCTGCTCCTGCTCCTACCCTGCAGATCCTCTGGCCTGGTACAGCAGAAACCTACGACACGACCGACTACTACGTCAGTTTACACTCACGCTGTGCTCCTGTAACTTGTTCGTAGATGCCTACCGCATCCTCGGATGAGACGCACTACTGGGCGCAGGACCCGCAGCCTGTGTACGTCAATGGGAAGATTGCTAACCCATGATGGAACTGTGTGGTATAAGAGGAATAGGTGGAAGGTGGTTGGTTTGTGCTGTCTCGGCTTTGTTCAGTGCGGATGTGCAAAATTGTGTGGGAGAGTGAAGTAAGTTTGTTTTTGGACATGCAATCAACAGAATGTACAACTACTTGTTACATCTCGTGACGAGAACATGCTGCGATCTCCTCCGAGTTCACTTGAAAGGGTTCGGAATGCCTGCACATTAAAAAAATGACGAGAGAAACATCTCTCTCAGAGTGAAGGAACCTTGTCTGGTGTCTTTGAATCGAACATCTGCGAAGACAACATGAGAAAGATGCAGGCAGAAGGTACAAAAGGTGGAGCAAGAAAGGAAGTGGAAGAAAGGACGGGAAGGGAAGCAAGGGAGGCAAGCACACCGACGGGGCGAGTATCAAGCTTCTTGTCTGTCTTGTAGCCAAGTTGCGATCTCAGCGAATCTCTGCCATGTCCTCACAAGGTCGCATGAGGGAGATGAGTGCCCGTACCTCACTCTCGTCCTCCTCGCTATGAGATCGTCATAGAACTCTCGCTCGCCTTCATCCTCGTCAGCTCACGACCAGTCAAACACAACAGCACCAACCAGAACTAAGACGGACAGGCGATCGATCCCGCACGTGCGGCAGCTTCTTGGGTTCTACTAGAGAAGAAGTGAGCTCGGGCAGGAGGGCATGGAGGGGAGAAAGGCAAGGGTTCCTTGAGGAGGGTGAGGACGAGGGTGAGGACGCCTGGGGTTGAGAGGAGGGAGGTGACCTTGGTTGGCCTTCAGAGACGGGAGCGAGCTCTTGCGGGCTACTGCCGGCTTGCTTGCGAGCTCAGAGACATCCCCGAAGCTCTGCAGGCGAGCCCAGGCGATCTCGTTGGTGGGGTCCAGCTCGACTACCTTCTTGTAATCCTCGAAAGCCTGCGGGAGGTTCAATGCAGGAAGAAGCACAGAGGCTTGCTCCACCTGCTTCAAGTTCCCTTGCAGGTACGCGGCAGACGCCCGATGGAGATAGTAGTGGTAGACCTGCACAGACCGTGAGGAAGCGGAGAACGATCTTCCTGCTCCCTCCGGGCACCTGCGGGAGATACTTGATGGCGTTGGAGAACTCAGTCTCTGCCTGCCGCAGGAGGACGGTTAGCAGAGGGGAGGCGAACATCAAATCTTCTTTTCGAACCTCCATGTGCATCCCTCGATCAAAGTAGGTGAGCCCGCGGGCATCGAAGAGGGTGCTGAGCCGGATCCTGATGTCCCTGAAGGAGCCACGTCGTCACTACCAGCTCACGTCAAGCACATGGGGGAGACAACTTGTCCTTCGGGTTGAGGTTGTGCGCAGTCAGATAGTCCTGTGACGTCATCAACGCCTCGGTCTCCTCACGTGCAAGAAGAGAGAAATGAAGAGCAGGGTCACACCTGGAGGGCAAGGCCGATTTCCTGCAGCTCTCGATAGCAGTCACCTCGGTTCACCTGGCCTCCGTCAGCCCCCGCAAGGCCGCAAGACCTCGAGCTTCTCACCCACACACTCGAGGATGCGGGATCGTGCTTCAAAGCGAGGTTGTACACCGACAGCGCCCGTTGCAAGTCCCGAGCTGCGTAGAGCTCGATGGCCTTCCACAAGAGATTCAGAGGCATTGCGGGTCAGCAGGAGAGGCGCATGACACCAGCTGGTTGTAGGTGATAGCAAGCTGACGTTCTGCGTCCTTGTTGTCATGATTGAGCTCAGTCACCTGCGGCGCTCTCAGTCACACCAGCTGCTGCCCCTCGTTCTTCACGTGCTCCAAGTCCATGACGGCCTCGTTGTACTGCCCCAGCTGCCTGTAAATGACTCCCCGGCGAATGAAGAAACGCGGGTCGCGATCGTCGAGCTCGATGGCATGATTCAAGCTGTTGATGGCCTACTGAAACTCAGAGCATCTCTCGTCTCATGGCAGGAGGGCCCGCACCTTCCTCGGCTCATTCCTCAGCAGAAAGTCCGTGGCTTCCTCGTACAACTCTCCGGCCCGTCCCTTCAGCTGCGTGTATAACAGCAGGGCCTCCGGGTCGTTGGGCTCGAGCCGCATCGCCTCGTGGATGTGATGGGCTGCCGTCGTTGGATTCTTCATCTGCTTGTGGAGCTTCGCTACCAAGACATGAATGCCCGCACGTGCGGTTGGGTGCTCGGAGTCTCCCTCAAGGTACGTCATCAGCCCGCCCATCGCCTGAGATGTCTTGCCCTGGCCAAGGAGAGCAAGAGAATGGTGGACGTGGAGGTAGAGGTTGGAGGGATCGACTTCGAGCGCAGAGGAAAAGAGGAAGACAGCTTCGGCGAACTGCTTTGACCGCACCCTACAGAGACCCTTGAGGTAAGTCAGCAACGAGAAACCCTGAGCACCAGCGGCACCTCCGCATCCAGCAGGTTGGACGTGAGTCGCTTCAACTCTGCCGGTTTGTTCGTGTACAGCCTGTTGCAACTGTTTCAGCTCCAATGCTTTCTTACGCTGCGAGCCCATGAATGTGGATGTGGATGTGGATGTGCATTCAGAGACTAAGAATGACCTGAGCGCTTGTTTGAAGTTTGATATGGCCATCTTGTAGTCTTTCAGGTGAAGATAAACCTTGCCTCTCTCCTCGAAGAAATCGGGATCCTCGTCCCACAAGTAGATGGCCTTGGCTGAAAGAACATGATGAGCTCCAACCCTTCTCACCGCAACATCTCACTGATCTTCGCCAATGCTGTCTCTACATTGCTGAAGTTGTCTCCCAGAAGCTCTTTCCCTGGGGGACAACATCACAACAGCCATGGGCCATGTGTTTACGAGTACCTTCCTCGAAACACCTGTATGCCCCGTCTCTGTTGATCTCCTCCATGGAGTGTGAGAGGAGCAATGCTATTTTTCATGCATCTTCATCGCTCTATCATGTCAGTGCTTTGTTCCTGCAAGAGAACATCATGGGAGAAAATAGCCACTTTACGCTCTCTATTGCTGCTGCCATGTCCTGTGCAAAACTGCTTTCGTTTCTTGCCTAGGATAGGAGATTCTTTGAGCTTCATGACACCTTTTACGGGCATGCGATCTCCCCTTCCTTCATATCTCTTCTTCTCTGCTCTTTCCTTTCCTCTTCCCTTTGCACTGTCTATTCTTCTTTCCCTTCATGCATGTTTCCTTGCTACCCTTCCTTTCCATTTTCGCTGTCCGTTGACAAGTTAGGTACCCCTCATACACTAGGCACCCTGCGAAATAATTTATAACCCCCTCCATCCCCCTTCCTTGATTTGTACCATGCGGGGAATTGGATCACCCGGTTATCCTACCACCCCATCAAAAGAAACGAGAACCCCTCCTGTTAGCCGCAAACTTTTCGTCATGGCAGCGGCCGCCGTGATGCTGGCGCTGGTTCATGCAGGCGTTACAAACGCCTTCTCGCCTTCGCTCCTCCTCCGCTCCTCCTCTTCTTTCTCTCCTCCTCATCCCTCTCTGCATGGAACTTTCCCGCTCATCACGGGAACGACGGGCATCCGATCACCCATCGCGCCATGTCTGCGCATGGAACAGGAGCAAGGAGAGGATCGCAGAACTGCCATCGGGAAGATGTTGAGGCTCGCAGCAGGGAACGTGCTCGTCCTGTCACAGGCTCGGAGCAGCGACGCTCTCTGTGGGACAAAGCCGCGGTCATGGGAATTCTGGATGCCCTGGTAGGTTTGGAGAGGAGACGAGGGTGTACTGATGGAGCGAAGGTCCGAGGAGACAGTGACCGTAGCGACGGAGGGATCAGTAAGCAGCAACAAGCGAGAAGTCTTCTACCGGGTGGTGGGAGATGAATCGAAGGAGAGATCGAAAGTGAAAGGTGACGCTGCCCTTGCCCCTTTCACTTCCTGACGCAGAGCAGGGAAGGAGGGGAAGCGGAAGCCTCTGCTTGTCATTGCGGACAAGTTCAAAGATCACGAGTATCTCACTGTCATGGAAGCTGTCTGCACATCTGACAGAAGGGTCTGCTGACCCTCCTCCTCCTCTACCTCTGAGTGACAAGGAGATCAGGTGATCCTTTACGATGCTCTAGGGACAGGATTGTCCGAGCCTCTTCCAGCAGAAACTCGGTGAGTGAGAGGGGAGGGAATCTGAGAAGAAGTGAACATTGTCACTATCTCACTCCCCCTCCCTCCCTCCCTCCCTCCCTCCCTCCCTCCCTCCCTCCCTCCCTCCCTCCCTCCCTCCCTCCCTCTCCCTCCCTCACTCTCCCCCACTTGTCCTTCCTCACTCCCTCCTGCACTCCCCCACCCTTCACCGTCCCTCCTTCACTCCCCTACTCGTCGTCCCTTCCTCGCTCCCATCCCTGACTCCCAATTTTTCCTACATTGATGGTCTCACCCGCAGACAAGCTCTGTCGTCAAACCCAGCCAATGCCGAGAGCTTTGCGGTAGAAGAACTGACGGTGGGGGCGAAAGGAAGGAGGAGAGGGGACTCATGTGTGCAAGGGCAGAGGCTATGGGCAGACATCTCGAAGACATTGAAAGTGGATCAAGTTCACGTCCTCGGTAACGGGTTTGGTGCCAAGGTAACGGCTCTTCTTCTGCTCCCGTGCCCTGCTACTATTTGTTTATCTTCTGCAAGACATTGCTGTATCTTCGTACTGCTCCCTCCCTCCCTCCCTGACTTTCGGCCTGCGTCATTTCGCTGATCTATGTTTTCTGCGTCTCTCCTCCTTCCCACTGCCCTCTAGCCCTTGAGAATACAGTGAAAAGGCTGCTGTCTTCCAGGTTGCGGCAAGTTTTGCAAAGCAGGAGAAGACTGCTAAATCTGTCGCGTCGCTCATTTTCGCATCAATGGAAGCAGGGACGACCGCACCTCCTGGCGTCAAGGTGGGACAACAGAAGGAGGAGGAGGAGGAGGAGGAGGAGGAGGAGGAGGAGGAGGAGGAGGAGGAGGAGGAGGAGGAGGACAAGGCTGAGTGGTTGACGAGCTCAGGTTCTTGAAACGAAGGACCCTTCAAATCTTTGTAGCCCCGCCACAGAAGAGAAGGAGAAAGAAGACTTTGTGCAGGTATTCATCGAGACTGATTTCCTCGAGTCTTTTGACCTCCTCCCCTGACCTCACACAGGGGCTGATATCCTTCATGGACGAAGTCGACTTGAGCTGAATCTTGCAGCTGTTCTCTTACTTCCTTTTTCTCAATACCAACACGCATGTTCGTCGCCATCGCACTTCTCCCCTCCGCATCTTCTGCTCCTCATCCCCTGGAAATCCGAGGCTTCGCTCTGATAGCAAGACAGCAACGGTAGTACCTTGGCGCCTGCATGGAAGCAAGGCTGCTCGGCAGTTAGTCTCACGCTCAACGACCAGTCGTCTACCTCCACTTGTCGACTTCTCACGCACTCACTCCGCTGGGAACCCTCGAACCAAACTTCCCCCTGTGGCACTGGGTCACTTGCTGGGGAAGAGCATGAGCTTGAAGGACACTTGACGAGTTGCGGACGTCACAACCCACGGGCGGAGAGGAGAGAACATGGAGGCAGAGTAGCTTCGCATCGTCAGGGAGGAGCGGCAGAGAAGAGGACAGGGGACCTGAAGGTTGAATGAACGGATGCTACCAACGACCTACACCTTGACAGCAGCAGCAAGTCCATCAGGGCCTGCGTCTCTCCCCTCCCATCCTCCTGCAGTCTCTTCGTAGCCCCTCTTGTGAACGTGACGTTTCCCGCCAGCATCTCCCTCGCTAGCACTTTGACTTCGTCCGACGTTGTCGAAAGAAACATCCAGCCCGCCTCCTCCCCACCCCCGGCGCTCGTATCACTCGATCGGTTGAGCAACAAATTCCTGCCGCACTCCAGCGCAACTTCCGAGTCGACTTGAGGTACCTGAGGCATGATGTCATAAGAGCTGGAACAAGCCTTGGATTCGGGACCTGCTTGTACTCGAATTCGAACATCGGGGTTCTCAGGTGTACCCCAACTTCGCATCTTCCTCCTCCTCGCTGCATCTCGAAAGTATCAACTGCCTTGCGGATCCTTTTGTTGGGTCTGAACAACCAACGTGCAATCATCGTCAAGATAAGAGACTCATGAGAGACTTCAGCATCCTCCCTCTCACTGCCATGTAGTTCTGGCAGGCAACCACGAAGATCGGAGCCAATTTGCTGGATATTTTTGCGAATGAAAGGATTCACAAGGAGCAATGGCAGGAAGTACTGGTCGGAAATTATCTCGAAACTCATCGTGTCTGACATCACATCATGACACCCCAGCTTCTCAGAGCTGGGCTGTAGAAACGGAGAGTTTGCAGTTAGATCCATCCTCAGCATCTTGTTCCTTGCCCCCTCCCGGCGAAAAGAAGACAAGTGCAAGTCAAATGCTGGCTCGAACAAGCTTTCAAATGGTTCTTCCCACTCCACAAAGAATCTCCTGCTGGTGCTCAAAGACAGCGCAAAGGCAGAGGCTACACTCAGCATGCGATTCCCCTGGGAAGAGCAGAGAGCAGAAGGGAAAATCAGTGGAAGAGGCTGAAATAGTGAATGAACTCACTAGCCCGTACTGTGGATGTATGATAACGACAGGTGCGCTGCTGTTTGCCTGAACCGTCTGCCATCTGGAAGAAGGTTGGTTGGTGCGCTTGCGTGAGGGCCAAAAATTCTCTACCTTTGAATGACCCGATGGGTTTGTTCGTTCATGCAACGATCGTCTACAGAAGGCAGTCATGTGGCATCACTGCTTCCCCCCCCCCCCTCCCCCCCCGCCTCCCCCCCCCCCCTCCCCCTCCCTCCCTCCTCCTCCTCCTCCTCCCACTATTATTGCTACTTTCTTCGTATCTTCATCATTGTCCTCCAATTATGATCACCCTTCCACTTCCAATCATCATCATACAAAATCATCATACAACATAATCATCATGATCATCATGATCATCATAATCATCACAATCATCGTTGCTGCTGTTGTCTTCGCCATTGTTGTCTTCAGACATTCATCGCTCACCTATCTGCCTCTTCGTCTCCCCCATGCAGGCAACCCCCATGGCAATCAGCGCCACTATCACCTTCACGGCCACCATGCTTGGCGATACTGTGGAGGAATAGGGGTTGGGTGACATGAGATGGGTACTCATTTATAAGGAAAGATGGGGTACACAACAGAAAATTTTGGATTTAGGGGGTAGGGGTGATCAAAAGATAAGGAAGGGGCGCAATGGCACTTTGTTGCTGGCGGATCGTTGAAATCTCGTTGGAGGAGAAGACGAAAGTTATGAAATGAGTCTGAAATTATGATTGACCAGAGAGAAGTTGTAGACTGAACGTGAAGAATGAGTCTGAAATTATGAATGACCAGAGAGAAGTTGTAGACTGAACGTGAAGAATGAGTCTGAAATTATGAATGACCAAAGACAAGTTGTAGACTGAACGTGAAGAATGAGTCTGAAATTATGAATGACCAGAGAGAAGTTGTAGACTGAACGTGAAGACTCAACCACTTCGACTCACTGATTCTCTGTTTTGTCGTTTCCAGCATGTGGATCCGCCCGCTGGAGGTGAAGGTGGTGTTTGCAGTTATCCTGATGGCGATAGAGACCATGGGAGGAGGAGGAGGGAGAGGCGGTGGTGGGAGAGGAGGAGAAGGTTACGTACTGATGCCATCGAGCTCTGCTGCTTCTTCGGGAGGAAGAGCAGGGCTGAATTTGCAGCAGAGCTCGAAGTTAGCATTCCTGACTGCACCGAGTTCGTTCAGTTCCAGCGCTAGAGCGCCATGCTGCTTCGAGAAACCCGCAGCCATATCGCTCGGTAGGGGGGAAAGACCGTCATTTCTCCTGCGGATGACTGCTAGCAGTCCTGAGGAGGAGGAGGTAGAGGAGGAGGCAAGGACAGTTCAAGTGCAAGCTGGGACTCTCTATGTAGTGGCGACACCCATCGGCAATCTCAACGACATGACCGTACGTGCCGTGAACGTTCTGAAGCAAGTAGATGTGATCGCGAGCGAGGACACGAGGCACCTTCTTGTGCGCTGTCCGTGTTGTGACTGATCGCGAGAGCAGGAGGACGGGACGGATGTTGAAGCACTTCGACATAAAGACGCCTCAGATCAGTCACCATGAGCACAACAGTATGTCATAGCTCAAGGTTTCAAACTCAGTCACCCTGATGCACGTTGGACAGGGCAGGGATCGGTTTCTGAGATCGTCAACATGGCAAGGGCAGGTCGCAGCATTGCCATCGTCAGCGATGCCGGCACTCCTGCTATCTCGGACCCAGGGACTGAAGTTGTCCGAGCATGTCTGCAGGAAGGGATCAGAGTTGAGCCCATCCCTGGTGCATGTGCAGCGGTAGCTTCATGCTGATGCGACTCCAGCTGACGCGGTTCAGGTGGCTGCGGTCAGCATCTCGGGCATGGCCAAGGAAGGGTTCTGCTTCGGAGGCTTCATACCAGCCAAAGGCTCCATGCGCCAGCAGTTTGTTGAAAGAGTGAGACTCTCTGAGCACCTGATCCTGCTGCTCTAGCGCTCGCTGACACTGTACAGGTCGTTTCCTCACCCTCCCCGATGGTCTTGTATGAAGCACCTCATCGGCTGCTGGCGACCCTAGAAGACCTATGTGCTCACTGTCCTGATAGAGATGTAGTCAGCTCTTTTGTCTGCCTTCAAGTCACCCTTCTCTCAGGTCATAGTTGCAAGGGAGCTCACAAAGATCCATGAGGAAGTGTTTGCAGGCAAACTTCGGGAAGCTCTCAGCCACTTTCAGAAACGATCGCCCAGAGGAGAGTTCACGCTGGTGACCAGAAACAAGACGAGGGGAGTATCTTCTGTTTCAGCTGATGTCTGACCAGGTCATCGAAGGAAACGCTTCACCAGCGTCATCGCGAGAAGACGATTCTCTCGCTGCCCGAGTGCTCCGCTCGTTCATCTCCCACGGGATCCCTGTGTCGTCAGCTGTGAAAGCTGTCGCAGAGCTCTTCGATGTGAAGAAGAATCGATTGAAGCAGTTTGCCTTGGACTTCAAGCAAGAACAGGAGGAGGAGGAGGAGGAGGATGAGGAGGATCGGGATCAGCAGAGATCAGCACTAGGCAAGTGAAAGTGGCTAAAACACACAAGTTGACAAGGTAAAATCGATTAGCTTGTCATGATGAGTCTTTTATGCTCAGCTCTCTGCAATCAGACTGAGGCAGATGTACAAAAACTCCAGGGGGAGGTGGAGGTGAATTGCTTCCCTTGGAGGGTCAAGTAGCTGATGACCAGCGTTACAGGCTGCGGGTGGGAGCATTGTAGAGAGAGAGCTGGACGAGGATGGAGAGACTTCCATCACGTTGAGAGATCCCGACGGCAACCTGCTGCTGATCCAGCAAGCTCATGTTTGATGGCCCTGCCGCCTTGGGACTTCCCCTTGCCCTTCTTTCCCTCTACAATCAGCTTTTCATTCTCTACCTCCTCGAGGCCTCTGCGCTGCTCGAACTGTCATTCGGTCAGCCAAGGGAGGTGGACAAGACTGCGAGTACCGGGAGTGGAGCGAAGAGCTTGGAAGGGCTGGTTGAGTATGCTGCTGCCCTTCTTCTCGCGCACATAAGGAGACGACGAGGTTCGCATGGGCGATGAGGTGCCGGGGCCTGCGTTCTCGCCATGGGAGGGTCTCGAGCTGGAAAGGCGATGAGGTTGGTAGCTGAGAGGAGCGAGTCACGTGGCTTCTTTCCAACCATCCCGCTCACCTGCTCGTTGACTTGTCCTGCCCCGCTGCTCCACTTACTCGTTTGCCTCTCGGAGAGGCAGGAGGGCCGCCGGTCTTCGACGAGTCGCGGGCAGGCGACGAGTAGCCTGCAAGCGTCTGATCAGCAAGAGCAGGACGGCTGGACTTCAGTACGCTTAGGCGTGAGAGGACGGGAGGAAGAATGCCTCTTCGGTGTAGACACCGTCTCCTGCTACTACATTGAGGAGGGGGCAATGGTGCATGAGCTCAGTTGACCTTGCTGGAGGCCAACAGAGGTTCGTGGCTGCTCCTGTCCTTGAATCTCTCCTGCGCAGTGTAAAAAGATAGCACGGGGGAGGAGGACGAAGCCTTGCCTTAGCTGATTCAAAGGTCCCTCCTTCCGATGGATTCCTCCTGCTGTTTCGTTCTCCCTCAACTGACGGGAAGCTGCCTGGAGTCTTTCCTTCTGGCGAATTCAAAGACAAGATGTCATATGAGAAGATGAGATTGAGATCTTTTGACAACAAAGTTGCATGGCTACATAACATCGAGAAGAAAACAAAGAATTCCGGTCTGAGGGAACTCAGGTTGTTTCAAGTTGTTCGATCGTTAGAGTTTCGAAGTCAAGGTACTCCAGAGACATGAGACATCATAGGCACCATTGTAGCACAGACATGAAGAACAACAGTTGATAAAAAGGGGAAGCAAATTCACCTTCATAGTGTCGGAAAGCGTTGATCGCATTGTCATATTGATCCTTAGTAATGAGTGAATCCTTGTACCTGCCGGCGAGTGAGATACAACCGACATGTGCCCATCGATAGCGCTCACAGGACATGCAGTTTGCTTCTCTGCTCGCTCCTTCCCAGCGCATCTTCTGCCACCTCGATCGACATCGCCTTGGTCACTTGGATGATTGTTCTGCTGCTCGTCGTCTCTACTGCAGGCTGCAACAAACTGAGACTGGACGAGGAGCTAATGCATCGTCCTACGGTCTCTGAGCTCGTCGGAGGAGCTAAGTAAAAGGAGGCGGACGGCCCCCATTTTCCGAAGCATCGGTCGATGCCGTTAGGAGCCCAACGAGCCGTGACGCTGATGAAAGAAACGTCAGTCCCGTCAGGGTTCAGTTGCTGAGGGTCACCTAGGGGAGGGAGGACGAAGCTTGGAGGCGATTGAGGAGTTTCTCTTGGCCAGGGAGGAGGGAGTGGTCGGGATGAAGCTTGTCCTCACTCCTGAGTGTGACAAGGAATTCTCCTCTTTACAACTGCTGCAATCCGATTTCTCTCCTTTTTGCAACTCGACCTCGCAAGACGACATCTGATTCGTTTCAACCTCTTGGTTGAGCACTGGCCCCTCTTCCTACAATGACAGAAGTTAGATGACAGGACATGGCAGGAGCAGACAACCAGGGTGGTTAGATCAATGTTTGCTAGACAGCTCTCACGTGTCTGCCCCTTCTCGAGGTCCTGAAACCACAAGATGCTCTCCCGCCCTCTGTAAGTCGGACCCTTCTCCTTCGCATCTGTTGCTGTTTCTTTCTCCTTCGCATCTGTTGCTGTTTCTTTCTCTTTGTTTGCTTCCTTAACCGAGACGTCTCCCTGCTTTGTGATAATGCCTTCGTCTCCTTTCTTGTTTTCTTCTTCTGGTTTGGAACCTGCAAGCTCCTTGTCCTTCAAGTCGTTAGCAATTTCCTGCATAACTTCGGCAAACAATGCCTGCTGTCCGGCACAGCTTTTGGCTTCTGCAGCATTGTCCTCTAGCGAAGGACTCTCACCCATGGGGCTCATCTCTGCCAGGGCCAGGACGGACATCCTCGGCTTGTGCAACGGACTCCGAGTTTGTGCGTGCAGAGGGCTCCGAATGGAGAGCGGGCTTTTGGACATGGGTGACATCTCACAAAGAGCCAGCACAGACGGTCGAGACTTTGGTGCTGGGCTCCTACAGTCAGCTACATCCTTGAGTTTCGATGAGATGTTGAGAGCTTCCCGCTTCAGAGTCTTGGGGAGGGCAGGAGAGCTGTTACAGTTGTGCACATTTTCCTTGTCGTCCTCGACATGGACAAGGGTGTCCATGCTGAACACAAGGCAGAGAGAAAGAGGTTGAGAGGTGGCAAAGGATGATCAGATGGCCTCTCTTAGACACGACCCCTCGCTCCTGCCATCACAGGCGGATCCCGCTTTTTACACGCCTTTTTGAAATGTACTGTTATGAATGATTGGCCGCCCTCGGTGGCAGGCTTGTTGGCCCTCATCCCCCCGGGCCCCCGGGCCGGGCCCGGTCACCGGGCCGTGCCACGGTGGCACGGGTGCCGCCGGCCACTGGCCCGGGGACCGCGTCCGATCCGACTCCGGCGGTCATGCCTACTGCGGCCACTGCCGACCCCCGCCGATGACAGACCGCGCGGCCGGGGGCGGCCGCGTACTCGCGGGCCGGATGATCGTGCCGCCCGCCGCCTCGGCATAGCGGGGCACTGTGACGCGGCACGCCGGGCCATTCCGAAGTTCCATGCGGGGGCATGATGAGTTCGGAGGCCGCCCCGGCCCGGCCCCCCGTGACCGTGCCGGCGTGCCACTGTCCGATTGTATGCAGTCATTATTCGGACGCCGGGCCCGCCGGCCTGGCACTGACACTGTTAATTCCGAAATCGGCCGCGGCGCGGCGGGGGCCGGGGCCCGCCCTGCCGCGGCGCGCTTGCCCGGTGACTCAGTGTGACAGCAGGGGGCAGTGCCACGGTGCATGCAGTGCCGCCCGGCATTCACAGCTCAGTGACTACCTGAGCGGCGGCATCCGGCCCGCCCGGGGCCCGTCTTTCCGGGCCAAGGGCCGCCCGCGATCACTGAGTCAGCAGGCCCTGAAAGCCGCCTCGGTCGGATGTGGCAGTTAAGTTTGCTAGCCTGGGCGGATCTGAACGGTTTTCACGTTTCAAATTAACTTGCTCAGTAACTTGAGAGCGAGTCACCCCCCGCGCGCCCGACTCAATGATGAGTCATTGGCCGGGGGCCCGGTGAGTGACTGAGCCTACGGTGATCGGACTCTGAGTCCCGCACGATTGACTCAGTCTGTTCAACATCGGCCCGATGACCGATTCGGGCAGACTGAGACTCTCAGTCACCGTTCCGGGCTCTGAGTGCGGCGGTGACGCAAACTCATGGAAACTTTTGCCGGTTGCTGCCGCCGGTTGGCCCGGCTGACTCAGTGAGCCTGTACTAGCTGAGGCTACGGCCATGGTCAGCGCCTGAGAGTCGAGCGGTAGCAACGGCCAAGGTGAAGGAGAAGAGGATGGAGGAAGAGACGCGGAGGTGGAAGACAGCAAGGGAGAGAAGAGCCAGAAGCCTGAGACCGAGGAGCTGTCTTGACGTGGATCACTTGTACGAGCAATGCAATAGGGACGGTCAAACTGCCGTGGTTGAGGGGACCGTGTGGTAGAGGAGGAGGAGGACAAGGTGTGGCTTGGAGTGGAGCTGAAGGATGAATATGCTACAAAAACAGGAAGAAAGACCTTCACTCATGGTTGCTTGCAGATTGTGTAGCGGCATGGACGCAGTGGAATGTAGATGAAAGCGCAGGGAGCTTCAAACATGATGTTGTGACATGCTGGAATGAGATGCGCGCAAGGGAGTCGAGAGGACAGCTTCCCAGAAGTGAGTCATGTGCTCCACAACCCTCATGCCTCGAACTGACAGCCACTTGACAGTCAATGAGAAGAAAACAAAAGAGAAGAAGATCTCCCGAGAGGTCCAAGTGCATTTTCCTCTCGTCGTTGGACGAGCTCGAGAGAATCTGAATGTGAGTGCTGATGTCATTTCGCTCAATCTCAAATCGACCAATCAGGCGATCCTCAAGAGTCGTGGACAGCAGACGAATAAGCCTAGTTCATCCCATGGCCCCGGAATGAAGAGAATCAACAGGGTCACACGAACGCATGTCTGATGTCTGTGTGAAGCTTGTGCAGATAGAGACGTTTGTGAGCCTTCTTGAGAAGCCTTGGAGTGAGAGGCTCCCGGAAGACATCCTCTACTTGATGGAAGCTCTCAGGTCCCTTCCCTTGCCTGTATGGATCCGCCGCGTGACCTCTTGCCCAGGGAGCTACACACCTTCAAAGAGCTCAACATCGTGAGCTCCCACATGGAGGAACAGCTCGCAAAGATTGTTGACGTCCGGAAGTTCGTGCACCGGGGAGGCATCGTCGTGAGAGAAGGCCAACAAGTGGATTGCTTGTACCAGGTGCGCGTCAGCCATGCCGGTCATGACGCGGGGTGAAGCGGGTGCAGGTGTTGGAGGGATGTCTGTTTTGCCAGCACAAGGCTGTGAAGAACTCAGAAGCCTTGAGCTCAGAGGGAGGAAAGGTCATCCTCTTTGCAAACATCGTGGAAGCGATTCAGATCGCCGCGCTGGATCCCTCGGGGACTTCGGACCCATACGTCGTAGTGAGAGTGGGGACGAGGGAGGGGCAAACGGAAGTAAAGTACAAGACCTTGAACCCGATCTGGGAGCAGACGCTCAAGATCGAGGTAGAGGACGACGCTGATAGCGTGGAACTGACCGTGTGGGACTACGACGCCTGGGGGGACCACGACTTCCTAGGTCTGGTGGAGGTGCCCTTAAGAGCGCTTCAGACCGACATGCACAAGTTCCACAAGTACGCTCTGCCTCTCAAGGACGACGAGAGGTACAGCGGTCTGGTGGATGAGCACATGTCGGGCAAGGCGGAAGCTGTCTCTGGATCGATAACCTTCTTCCTTCAGCTCACCACTGACAAGTACTTGGACCGTGTGGAAACGTTGATGTCAGATGAAAACCAAGTGGAACGTTCGGTGCAGAAACTTCTCATGGGATCAATCATCGGGGTGGAGAGCTTCTTGTCGAAGGGGTCCTATGATATGACGGTCATCGTTGACCAGCCTGCCATTCTGCTGAGGGTTCAGCTCAAGGAGTACGAAAGTCACATCAAGCCATTGCAGGACAACATGCATACAAGAAAGCTCAACTTCTTCCGTGAGCTCTCAGTGTTTCATGACGCTAGTGACGACAAGCTGAACATGATCGCAAGCTCCTTCGACATCCTGCAGTATAGATCCGGAGTGATCGCGCGGGAAAGAGAAACATGGAGCAGAGTTGTTTTCATCATGTCGGGCGAAGTGAACATTTACAAGTCTGTGCTAGATAACCGAGCTCACAATCAACGACACCAGCCTTCTCAACGGCCGTCCAACAAGAGCACCTCAAGTGGAAACACCTCGGACCTTGCATCGAGTGATCTCAGCAAAGTTTTGATGGATAAAGATGTCTTCTTGAGCAGACTCCTTCGCGGGCATACGATCCATCTGTTGGAGGTGATTTTCATGTCCTGCTGGTCAGCATTGCTGACTCCCTTGCCTGTCGCAGGTCCTCTCCAAGACTCCCAACGCCTACACGTCAGTCGCCGCGACTCCAGTCGAGCTGCTTGTCTCGAAGGGCAGCACTCAGATCGGGATGCAGCACGAGCTAGTGGGTAAGGCTGGCATGCTACCTCCCTCCTTCCTCCTTACTTGTCTCCAGAGCTCAACGACAACTGGAATTCTGAACCCAAGGTGATCTTAGACGCAGAGGTGTGCAGGGTGTTGTCAGAGCGCGAGATGCTTTACCCGTCGGAGATGTCTCTAGTGCAGTTGTATGAGGAAGGGCGGGAGTGGATCAAGTACAAGGAACAGCTCGTGTCAAACTTGATTTTCAAGAAGCGAGAGAGAGAGACGATGAAGAACGGCATGATCAAGACAAGGGAAAAGATCAACCTCAATGGGCTTCGCAGGGCATATCACCAAGAACCAAAGCTGCCTTACACATTGATCAAGGAGCCAGAAAGCATGATGGAAGTGAAGGCCGAACCATCCGCAGAGATGCTTGGAAAGTCTCTCCTGGGCTCCTTGTCCTACCCGAAACGAAGGCTTCCAACATCGCACGGGATGTATATTAGAAGAGAAAAATTTTAATCTGAACTCTAGTCGGTGTCTTTCTTTGACCCTGTCGGATACACGAAAGAGCATCATCATGCTGAATATGAAGGATCTTTCTTGTATATGTAGTCTATTGCAAGCAGAGCTCATCACAATTTGTCGAACCAGAAGTACTGGAACAGGTTGTCGTGCGACGTGTACTTGCTATCCGCCGGTCTTGATGAGATCCTGTGGGCACATTTGTAGTTGGTGTCATCGACTTTATCAGGATACAACCCTGAAGGAAAGGAACTCAGAAAGCATTCCAACACCTCAAGTCAAGCTCACGTTTGCATTGAACCTCGAGTCTTTGACCATTCCTGTCGACAAGGATGTTGCAAGTGCTTCCCTCTTCTCCCACCGTCAACATTTTCACCTGATGATTTCGTCACATCACTCTATCTCAACCTGCCACTTTCCTTCTACCTCGTCCAGCTGCAGACCAGCAATCGACACCCCGTTGATCGCCATCACGTGATCTCGGATCTGCCCGGGTCACGTCAGTCCCTTCCCGCACGGATTCAGCCTTCATGACCTGCAGTCTGCCGCTGAGGTGAGCGCCGAAACCAGGCACGATGTCAGTGATGACTGTCGAGTCATCTTCGAGGCGTTCCAGGAGAATCCCGATGCCGACCTGAACAAGGGTGGGACCTCTGACAGGTTGACGAGTCACGAGTACCTTCTGGTTGGGGGTCTTGGCGTTCACAACACCGTTGACGGGTGCTTTCACGTTGGCACCGTTGACGGGTGCTTTCACGTTGGCATTGTTGCGCAGGGTTCGGTTCTCACTCTCGAGAGCGTTGTAGCGGGCCTCCAGGTCCTTCACTCGGACGTTCAACTCATTGCAGCGCCTGCACTCCTTGTGACCGAATGCGGCCATTTCTCGGAGATGTTTGAGTTCAGATAGAAGTTTTGAGTTCTCATGCTCCTGTGACAAGTTTCAGCCAACAAGAGCAGGCATTCTTGAGGGTCCCACCAGATCTATGAAGCGATCCTGCAGATCTTTTAGGTCACCTTCCTTGGACGACAACTTCTTCTTGAGGTCTTCGATCCGCTTGTCCATGTCTTTCGTCGGCATCGTTGACTGAGCTGCAGACAAGCATCAAGATACATGTGTTTGCACGAATTTCCTACAGGTTTTCAAGCTCTCAGTTCCAGTCCCGGCATTGTTCGGAACAGAATAGATCCTTCCACGTGAATGTTGCTGGGGTGGCGACTTGTTGGCATGCCCCTCCCTGTTTGAGCTTCACATTCAGCATGAGATGATGTTGATGCGGCCGCTTACGCCATCGGGCTCGGCGGGTAGTTGCCCTTGGGAGAAGTCTTGTCGAGTTGATCCGGCATCATTGAGCGATCTTGACTGTGCGGGACAACTTTCATACCGTGCTACTCACACTAGTCAGGTTGTCGGGAGGTAGAGAGAAGGGAAAACCATGAGGATGGGAGAGCTTCGTCCTTGGTTCACCATGTTTAGCGGCATCTGTAAAGGAATTCCCTGGTATTGCGAGTCAAAGCACAAGCTTGGAAGAGCGCAAGTGACCTTGGAGGCAGAGACGGGAGACCTGGAAGCGTTGGGCGAGAACGAGTGCGGCATGTGCGGAGCCAAGTTGGTGGGGCTCATCGGGGGAGGGGAGCCACCTCGGAACCCGATCATCTGATGCTGCATCGGCGCGAGCATATGGGGAAGGGAGTGCGGCATCAGCAGCTGAGCTCCGTTCATCGCTGAGGACTGGGGAATCATCAAGTGTGCTTGAGGGTTCTGAGAGCTGTCTGGCCCCATGACTGAACCTGCAACATCATGTCAGTACACACACTCGGCTTCGCTCCATGCACAACATCCCGCCTTCCATGCCTTTTCGGAGTTATTCGTGACAGAGAGTATCGACAAACGAGGGTCATTGCTAGATTCACAGGTGCACTCGCTAGCTGTCTGAGAGACTATCTCTTAGCATGAACGACATTGGCAGGTCGATAGAGCACATCTAACTTCGCTCTCTCCGTCAATGCGTGACTGGCAAAACCTCACGTCCATTTTTCGTCAAGAGACTTACGAGGAGCCTCAGCTGTTTACCCCAACCAACCCAAGAGAGCTGGTCTCGCACATCTCCTTGTATGCATGCTGTGCGTCTATCCTCGGGTCGTCTACCTCCTCTCCCATCGCGCTCTTGTCTTGCTCTGCCTCCATGTCTCCCGTCCCTGATTGCATCTCCGCTTCCACATCGGGACCTACCGCCGTAAACCACCCTACCTCTCCCCGGAATCGGACCTGGGATAGTACCCCACCCCTAGTCATCTACCTTCTCTTCACCCGTCTCTTGCTCCAAATCGCGGTGGTAAACTTGGTTGCTCATCTCCACCCACCCCTGTCCCATCTTGACCACCCACCTTCATGTCTATTTTGTACGCGGCGACCTTAGGACAGTAAAATTGGTACTAGGGGCCAGTGTGGGCCGTACCGGATATCAGATAGCCTATACTGATTATCTTAAAACTATTATAATATTTTCTAATATAATAAAACAATGGTAGCTCAGAACTACTGTGTGAGGTACTCTGTAGTACTGACTTAAATCCCGAGGAAGATCTTCTGGTAGTTATCATAGTACGGCCTTATCGATGATCAATTATAAACCGTACTGCGGTGAGAGATTGTACCAGAGTACTACCCGGCAGTTCTACTACCTGTTGGTCCGTCTTTTTTACTTAATAATTTAGTAAAATTGGGCGGCCCGGGCCCCGGGCCTGGCCGGGTCGCAGCGCCGCGCCAGGCCGACTCTTCTGACTGTGGGTGAGCCTGCCTCGTTGAAAACAATTTCGGAGATGAGGATAACAACCCTAGCAACATATTTTAATCAAACTTTTTTCTTTCATGAATTACAAACTACTTATGTTATATATGTTTTATTTTTTATTTAAAATGTATTTTACTTGAATGTTTTTTTGTTGATCCACTTCCAAGAAAGTCCCAAATTAGATCTGTCGCCCATGAGCTGATGACTGGAGACGATAGAATGGGACGTAGACGAGGCCGAAGAAGAGCGAAGAGCGAACAGGAGAAGATAAGACAGCTAGAGTGTAGATTATGAACAAACGGAACAAGATGCACAGTAAGTAAGGAGAACAAGAGGAGAGACCAACAAAAGCATTAGCTGAAGGTATTGTGAGGACAGATCGGATATTCTTTCATCGCATAGGGATTGATTGACGGGCGGGTTCGAGCAATTGTAGTAACTCTCATTTTACAGGTCCGATCATGGACCAGTGTGTTGCTCCAACGAGCAGCTCCAATGCCGAAGTTCTGAGAAATTATCGCAAACTGCTGTTGACAAGCTTGGCTGCCCTGGGCTGTGTTGCTCTGGTTGTTTTCCTGGCGAAGGATGGCGCCATCGAAGAGGACAGGTCTGCTTTGTTTTCTCCATTTCAGCGGAAGCAAAGCCTGCACTGGGAGTTCCGGGTGACTTCTGTTTTGATTTGTTTACCTGTGGCTAAGTGATGGATAGGGAGAGGACGGGCCATCGACATGGGGGAAGTACTACTTCACTTGTGACGTAGGGATGGAGCAGAGCCCTGTTAACATAGAGTCAAGCCATGCAGAAGCGACGCCCCTTCCTGCGATGAAGTGGGACTTCAAGGGAAAGATGATCTCAGTGCACCAGAAGGAGGAGACTTACGACAGTCACAAGTTCGACCTCAAAGACCATGAGAAGCCCACCTTGCAGATGGAGGAAGGTGGTCCTGTGTACACGTTGCAGCAGATTCAGGTGTGTGCAAGGGCCCTCCCGGGAGTGTGAGGGGTCGAGAAGTGAAACTCCTCATCAGGTGCATGCGCCTAGTGAAAACAAGATAGACGGGACTCAGTTCGACGTTGAAGTCCAGTTCTGGCACATGGCCCCTGGCCCCAAGTACATGGTGATCTCCTCCATGCTCAAACGCGGAGGGTCCAGGTGTGAAGGGATCGGCTCCTTCTTGTGCTGGGACTTGACCGTTGGCCTGTCCAGTCCTCTCTTCGTCGACCAGATCTCAAAGATCTTGCAGAAATCCGTAGGCACAAGTGAAGGAAAGGGAGGAGGCTGACTGGAGTGTCGGTGCAGGTGTTCCGTTACAACGAGCTCGAGCCTGCCATCAGCTTTGAAAGCATCCGAGAGAGTCTGGCACCGACAGGGAACATGAGCAGGTCAGCCTCGCTATCCTGCTCAGAACCCCGTGGTCACAATGCCGCAGCTTCTTCCGCTTCAACGGCTCGCTCACGCAGCCTCCCTGCACGGAAGGAGTGCTGTGGAACATCCTCCGCGATCCCATCCCCATCTTCTACTACGATGCGGACGAGATCTCTCAGGACCTCGCTCCCAACAACCGGCCCATCCAGCCCCTCAGCGACCGGGTGGTTCAGGTGAGAAGCATCCTTCCTTCCTTTCTCCTGCTGTCTCGACTGAGACCCCATGGCAGGCTGCGATACCTGAGGTCGGAGGAGGACAGGGAGCGGCTGCCGCTGCCCGGGGGCCGCGTGCGACTCTGCAGGTTGTGAGAGGGAGGAGGAATGGGAAAATGTTGACGGGCGGGGATGTGGTGCAGAGCCATGGGAGTGTTCAACAGTCGCTGCTGAGGCTGGGGAAGAGAAGATCAGCCGCCCGTGGTGGGTCGAGAGAATCTCTGAAGACAGAAGTCCACGACATCAAGGAAGCTGAAAGCGCGTTGATCCGCAAGGCAGAGCAGATCAGGGAGGCTGAAGAGAAGCACAAATCGACTCCTCCTGCAGCCAAAGAGGCAGGGAAGGCAGCCCAGGGCAAGCCAGCTCTGTCATCAGCTCCTCCTCAGACGCACAAGGAGAAGACGCAACTCGCAGCCTCTAAGGCCCAGGCAACATCACGAGAGAAGAGCTTGTCACAGGTTGTCTTTGTATTCTAGTTTCCAACCCTCTCCCCTGCCTCCTCCTTGACCTTCTTCTCCTTGCCAGGACTCCCTCTCCCTCGTCGCTGCACATGGAGCATCAAGGACGGGCATGAATGAAGTGTGGAAGACCTCAGCGCCCTTTCCCTTCCTGCCCCTGTGGAGGTTTTGTTTGTACTTGAGGTTTTGAAAGGCTCTCAGAACTTGCTTCTTCTTTCTGTCCTCCCTTCCCTCTCCCCTCGTTTACTCCCTTCCCTCCTTCGTTATCCCTTCCCCTTCTACCTCCGTTCTCATCTTCC